TTTAGGATAGAAAAAGGTAAAATAACCAAAAAAATAGACACAAAAATAATTATAATCCCAAAAAAGTGTATTAAATATAATTTTTTTCATCTTCTTCGTCCTTTTTTGCAATTTATTAATTACTTTATTCTTCATTTTATTAATTTGATTGTTAATCTTAAGGAATTATTTCCGAAATACCTAAGGAAAGGTCACAAAAGGTATCTATTTTACATGAAAAATAGCCATCATTTTCACTAGAAGCAACTGCAAGCTATACATCACGCCATTTATTATTATTTTCTTCAAAGCAATAACAATAAAGTGCTTTATCTTGGAGATTTCTTAGTGTTTATTTTTTGAAAATTTTCAAAATTTAAATATATATTATATTTGATTTCTAAAATTAAAAGTTTCCAATTTTTTTTGAGTCATTTTTGTTTTTCAATTAAAGTTATTAAATATTTGAATAAATGTATATTTAATGTGTTTTATTTGTTTAAAAAGGCATTTCATGTAAATCTAAAGGAATTTCTAAATACTAAATGAAGCTTTCTTGAGGAATATCTTCTTTTGCTATTTTAAATATAATTAAATCATTTTTTTTTATTTGAATAATATCTTATTAATCTTATTGTTTAACTAATAATTAATAATTTGCTAAAGTAAATTCAAATCCAGACGTATTTTAAATTTAGTAATTAATTTATTGATTTATAATTTTTATCAATTATGAAACAACTTTTCTATTATATTATTAATTTAGATACCTTATAATATCAAAAATACTGTCATAAATTTAAAAAAGAGAAGTTTGTATATTATTTTTGTTAATTTATTGTAAAACATCTAAATTTAAAATTTCTAATACTTAAGTTAACAAACTTGGAGTAAACTAATCTCTCAATTGACAAATATTTTGTAATAAAATTATCAAATCACTTTTTTTAAAAAAAGAAATAAAACTTATATATATAAATATTTTACATTTCTTATAAGATATTATATTAGTTGTTAACTATATTATTATATATTATTTGAATAATTATTTTTATATTATTTTTAACTAATTTAAACTAACTTGTCCCATATTAACATTATTCGCCTTTATTATTAATATAAATATAAAAATATAATATTGTTAATATAAAAACCCATAAATTATTCAAAACAATCACACATAAAATACCAGTTTGTAATATTTTATTTGCAATTTCCATGATTTGAACATTAAATTTAATTATTACATTAAAAATTAACTTATTATTAAACCTTAATTAATTAACTTGCTTATTTTATTTCACTTGTATTTTATTAATTTTCAATGTTAACTGGTTAAAATCCTCTTTTGGAAATTAAATTTTAGGAGATATCTTTAAGTTTATAATTTTAATTACTATCTTCAATATTAAATTTTTATAATTCGTCTATAATATCGAATAATTCATTTTTCGAATTTTCAAAAGAAATCTCGATTTAAACTTATTTTTGAAATTGAAAATTTATAAAACTTTTTTGAAGTACAATTAATTCTAAATAAAAGTTTTAAATATCCTACAAAAATCTATTAATAACTAATTATTTTACAAAACTTTCATTTTTTTCGTTTGAAAATTCTCCAATTAAAACCTTTTAGCTTTCGACTTTATTTTTATCTAATCCAAAGAAAAAAACTTAATAATTGAATCTAAGCGAATCTTCCTTTATTTCTTTGATTTTCCATTACTTTATTCTTACATCAAATACCTATTTAAATAAAATATTTTTATTTAAAACTTCAAAATCTCCTTCTTAAACATTCAAAGAGCTCAAATTTAATTAGCTATTCATTTCAAATAATACTAAATTATTAATTTTAATAGCACATATACATTCTACTATACTATTATTTTCTTTTTTTATGTTTTCAAGGAAAACAAATTGACTCTCGAATTTTTATTAGTTGATTTCTATTCCATATTCTTTTTTTATTATCGTATTATTATTATTATCTATTTTACACTATATGCTTTCTAATTTTATTATTATTTTTTCATCTTAGTTTTATAAAAAAACATTTATTTTGTATTAAAATCCAGCATTCTATATGCATTTCTATTAATATTCATTTTCACATATTTACCTTAATTCAAAAAAAGGCTTTTCAATACATTTATTCTCTATTTATATCTAATAGCTATTACATTTATCTAAACAAATATTCCCATAAATATAATTTGGACAAGTCTTGCATTGTGAATTTATTTCAGTACATTTTTCACAATTATTTTTATTCAAAAAATAACCCTATAAACAATTTTAAGAGGAGCTTTTATTTCCTGAATCTTACTAAATTATATCTTATTAATCTTTATCTTAATCTTTATTTTTATCTTAATCTTAATCTTTGTTTTTATCTTAATCTTAATCTTTGTTTTTATCTTTATTTTTATCTTAATCCTAATCTTAATCTTTATTTTTATCTTAATCCTAATCTTAAGATTAATTCTATTTAGTAATTTCAGTATCCTCTTTAATATTTACATCTTTTTTATATTATAAATTTATAATTTTATTTATATTTTAATTACTTTCATATTACGATTAAACATCAGGTTTCTATTTTTATTTATTTTTATTATTATCATGTTTTGTTTAATTTTTTTATTTTATGTTTTAAAATTCATTATCATTTGGGCTAATGTTTTTATCTGAATTTTAAGTACCTTACTAAGCATTTTCCGAAGTATTTTATTTAGTTTCTTCTTGTTAAAAATCTTTTTAGCTAACAGTTTTCTCTGAATTATTTTAAGTATTTTATTGGGTATTTTTTTGTGCATTATCTTTTTAACTAATTTCCGAATCTTTTTAAGTATTTTATTGCACATTATCATTTTAGATAATAGTTTTCTCTGAATTATTTTAAGTATTTTATTGGGTATTTTTTTGTGAATTATCTTTTTAACTAATTTCTGAATCTTTTTAAGTATTTTCCTAAGTATTTTATTGCGCATTATCATTTTAGCTAATAGTTTTCTCTAAATCTTTTTAAGTATTTTATTGTTTAATATCTTATTAGCTTAAAGTTTTCTCTGAATTTTTTTAAGTATTTTCCTAAGTATTTTATTGAGTATTTTCTTGTGTAATATCGTTTTAGCTAACAGTTTTCTCTGAATCTTTTTAAGTATTTTATTATTTAATATTGTTTTAACTATTTTTTTAATCATTTTAACTATTTTCTTGTGTATCTTGTTTATTATTACTAAAATTTTTATAATTAGTATTTTTATTTTATTATTAATCTTCTGTATTTTATTATTAGGTTTCTTTATTGTTTTAAGTTTGATCTTTATTTTCTTAAGTTTCGTTAGTATTTTTTTAAGTTGTTTAAATATCTTTTTAAGTGCTATTTGCATTTTATTAGTTAATATTTTTATTTTTTTAAATAATACTTGTATCTTATTATGTCGTATTTACATTTTACTCATTCATATTTCTATTTTTTTAAGTATATTTTTAATTATTTTCTTAGTTATTTTATAAAGTGTTTTGTTAAAATTTTTCTTGAGAAATTTATTCCGTTTTAACTGAAATAGTTTATTAAGTATTACTTTGGTTAGTATATTATGTTGTGTATAAATTATTTTATTAATTTTAAATAGAGTTCTGTAAAATATTTTATTTCGTATTTAAATTTTGATTTTAAGGTTCCTTTTATTTTTACAGAGTATCCTTTTAATTCTATAATAATTAGAGGCGACGAATTTTTTTTTTGAAAATAAAATCTAAACAAACTACTTCTTAAAAAACAGCAATACAATTATTACAAAAATTAGGACATTTGATACATTAAAATCTTTTAAAATCAAAATAAAACTCTTAAGTACAAAAAATATTATTAATACAAATACTTTATGAAAAAGCTTAATACTCGCATTTTTTTACACATTAAATATCCCAACCAAAAAGAATTATGCTAAAAGGTTTCTCACATTTATAAGTTTTTAAAATTTCATTGAAATAATCATATTTGTTTGCAATAAATTTTAATTTTTAATTGAAATGTAATGAATTTCTATTTAATTAAAACTAACGTTATGGACATTTTTTACAAAAAAAATAATAGTTAATTTTACACTTTGAATGTTTGTCTATAGAATAGAATTTCATACATCCTTCTTTAAATTATATGCATTTTTTTAAATTTAAATCAAAGAAAAATTAATTTTAACATAAAAAGCATTAATTTGATGAATTAGAATATTAACCTAAAAAATTATTTAATTAAAATAAAATACACGTATATTTATTTATAATTTGTAAAATAAATAAAAGAAAATATGGTTAAAAATATTTAATTATATTCATATACTTATTTATAATAATTTTAATAACATTTCAAGCAAATATAATTTTTTTAATTTAAAATATATACTATATTACGTTTTTAAGGTTTTAAAATTTCAAATAAATCATATTCCAAAAAATATCCATTTACACATTCATTATATGTTTTATTATTATTGAATTTTAAACAATTTATAATATAGCATTTTTAAGAAAAACATCTTAAATTTTTTTAAATATTTAGGAAACATCCGCATTAACATTTTTTGCATTTTCTCTGTTCAATCAATCTGATTTTGTTTTATATTTTTTAATATATTTTTTTTACTTTTCAGAATTAGGAATATAACAAACTTTTAAATAATATTGATTATCAGTTTATTTTTATAACCATTCTATGTGAACTTAAAGTTTATTCAAACTGAAATTTATGCATCTATAAGGACACTGCCTTTAAATGCTTTAAATAAAAGTATTTTAATTTGAAGAAAAATCTTAAAATTTAGAATTGTAGTTAATTTTTTAGTTTTAAATTGCAGAATTGAGACTAAAGTATTAACAATTAAGGCAGAAAGGGTCTGAAAAACTTGACTAAAAAATATATCGACAATAAAAAGAGCAGTAATCTAAAGAAAAAACTGTAAAATTAGAAAGAAGGTAACAAAATAAAAAAAAATATAAAAAAAAAAAATTAGTCATAATAATTTATTAATTATAGATATTGCTTATTTATTTATTTTATCCCAATTAATTATATTATTTTGTAAATTATTTGTAGATGTTTATAATTCATCATCTAAAAATTTATTCAACAATTCCCACAAAGGTTTAACAATCGCATTAATAAATCCGATTTCGCTTCTGGCCAAAATATCTCTTTTATCTAAATCTTTCAAATAAGGTGTTTAAGGAATATTTTATTCACATTCGTCTTTATACTAATATATTAATATAATTTAATTTAATTTAATTTAATTTAATTTAATTTAATTTAATTTAATTTTATATATTTTAATTCTTTTATAATAATATAATTACCTAATATTAAAATTCTTAATTTACTAACAGACTCCATTTTTTACTTATTTCAAACTCTTATGAATTTCCATGAAAATCTGCCGCATGAATAATCATATTAGTTATTAAATTTATTTCATTTTCTTTATAATCATCCTATTTTATTTCCATATTTTTTTTTAAAATACAACCAGAAAATTTCATTTCAAATTGCTTTATTAAATCAAAATGCTATTTTATATCAGTCGCTAAAATGTTCGAAATTACTTTTTTTCTTATAATTTGAAATTAATCTAATTCTAAATTGGCCAATATGTTAGCTTCAGGTTTTTTTAGAATTTTAAATGTAGTAGCAATATGATGCTATTCTAAAACACTTTTATCATGATATCTTATAGCTAATTTAGACATACTATTTACTTCAAAAACATTAGTTCTAGCTGTATGAGATATATCATGACATAAACCTGATAAAATTAAAGCGAATTCATTTAAATCTTTTATTATTTAAGAAGCTGATGTATGACATGAAATCACATAACATCCATGCATAACTTATATCCCATGATCAAAACTATGAAAAGGATTTCCTTTTTTATTATATTTTTGTTTTATTTTAAAAATAAATTCAATAAATCTTTCTATTTAAATATTGTATTTGTTAAAATAGTTTCTTTAATTAAATATTGACCAAATAATTCTTATTTTTTCTTTTTAGTCAATTTTAAATATATCAAATTGTAGTTAATTTAATTAGTTGTCTTCATTTTCTTTTGCAAATAAATCATTTGGAGTTATTGTTAAATACTCTAATGTATCTTAATTTTCTATATGTATTTTATGCATACTCCTATTATTTTTATTTTTTTATTTTATTTTTTTATTAATTTTTTACGATATTTATGGATTAAACAAACGCACTCCATAATTATTTTTACTTTCATCTTCTTGAATTTTAATCAAATCTTTATCTGGTAAAAACTCACGAACCCATGAATTCTTTACATTTGGATCTTCTAAAACCATCTTATTTATTTATTTTTTTTAAAAAAAATTAAAATATGTTTATATATTTATTTTTATATTTATTTTTTTATTAGACTTTTTTAGATTATAATGTTTTTGATTATTTTGTAATAAAATATAACTTATCCATTGCTTTTTAGATTTTGCTTATTGGAATCGAATGTTATTATTTATTTGAAATTTTTTTTTATAAAATTGGAATAGTTAAACAATTTTAAGATTCGTCTTGTTATTTTATAAATATCTTAAACCCACCATTTTATTTATATATTAACTCAATAGAAGGAGAAGAAGAAGTTCTCAATATAAAATTTTCTTAATTATTCAATTATTTTATAAGTTATACAACTTAAGGATTTTAAGCAAAAATATCTTTAAAATTAGCTTAGGTTTATGGGCTAATTTTATTTATATCATCAATTATTTATATTTTTACTGATTCTCTTTTTATGTTTATTTTTTTTGTTTTTTTAATATTTTTTTAAAAATACTTAAATTATTTAATTACACTGTTTTCTCGTTTAAAGGTTATGATATAAATAACAAATTCCCTTTTTTATTAAAGTCTAATAAAACTACTTCTTAAGTTCCTAAATAATACATATAATCACAAACACGAATAATTATTTTTTTTATTTTTTAATGATGACTTGTAATTATAGAATTCAATAGCTTTTTTAATAAATTTAATGTATATTTATATATTAAAAGTACCTTTTCAAATATTTACAAATGCAAGAGTTTATCATAATGCTATTTATTTAAAGTACAATTAAGTTGTATTTTTGCCAAAGGAATGTTTATTTAATAATCACAAGCATTTTCTAAAGGTTAAAGTAAATCAGAATGAACAAGCTATTCCCATCCAAATATAATTTAACTATTATTTTCATTTTTTTTTAATTTTTTTATTTAATACGCATGTGTCTAAAAATATTCTTCGAAACTAAATCTTATATCTTCTATTAGAATGATTTCAGATATTTTTACATATTCTTATAACATTTTCATTAGTTTATAAACATATTTATGACTTTAAAATATAATTATTATAGTAATATATAAAGAAATATAATAATTATATACGAAAAAAAATCTTATTCTAAAACAAATACACATAAAAGGGGAGATATTTAGTCCTTGAAAAAATTATGGAAGCTGTTATCAAAATTATTTCTAAATAAAATAATATATAAAAGTATTCTTTTATAAGTAAAAACTTTAAAATCTTAAAAAAAGAATCATTAATGTATTTTGTAGATACATGAAACATTAAAATAAAAATATCTTCCTAATCTATTTTTATCATAATATAAGATTCTTTTTTACAATTGAATGAGAATAATGTTTAAAAAATAATTTTTTATTATTCATTCAATTATAAAAGTTTATTATGAGTAAATACACTTAAATTTTATTTTAAATTATTTTCATTTTTAATTTCCTTATATTTATAAAAAATTTAAGATATAATTTACAATATAAATACTCCTGTTTATTAAGACATATTTTTAGAAGAAAAGGTATTAATATAATTTTTGTTTATCCTTATAATTTCAAATTCACTAATTCCAAACAAAGTTCTCAAAATATTAATAGTGTAATTAACAGTAGGAAAGATTTTACCATTAGAAATTTAAATTTTTACAGAATCTCTAATTACAACTTTTATTTTTAATTTAATACTATTATATTTTTGTATTAAAATATCAGTAAATTATTATTCAATTTCATTAAATATTTTACTAAATATATATATATATATATATATATATATATATATATATATATATATATATATATATTATCTACCTATCTGAATCTAATAAATTTATTAGAATTTATTCGCAAATATAATTTAAATCTTTTTCTTAGTCTTAAAATTATTTCAAAAAATTGAATGCCTATTATTTTCCAGTACTTAAAGTTTGCAATAATTTATTTTCATTTTATATTTATTAACTATTTATTGAAAAAAAGTTTCCAAACCTATTTCCTTCATTATTTTAATTTTAATTTTTTTCACTTACTTTTTTTATGATTTTTTCAAATCTTATTGTTGTACAAATGTTTATATTTTATTTTCTAATTATACTATTTCTTATGATTAATCTTAATCAAATTCACTCATTATATTATAAATATACATATTTCCTCTAACTGCACTATCATATATTAAATCTACTTCATTTTAGGTTAAAAGCTCTTTTTTATACATATTTTTTAAAACTACTTATAAACGATTAATTTAATTGGACATAAAAATATAAATGTGTATGTTATTTAATTATTTTTTATAAATATTTTTATTTTTATTTTATTTTATAAATTAATCTTATATATTAATAATTTATTTTTTAAAAAATTTATTTATAAATAATTATTTTTAAATTATCTTATATCAATATTTTAATATTCAAAAAATATTTATTTTAAAATCAATTAATTTGTAATTAAGCATTTAGTTAATGTTGATTTATATTTGAGAAATAAATAACTATATATATATATATATTATGTTTGAATATGAAAAAATATTAATATAAAATTTTATTTGTATTTATTTTTTTATAGATAATTGATGACTTTATTTAAAAAATATTTAAATGATACATTATTTATTTATTAAATTTTAAGCTATTATTTAAAAAAACATTTATTTAATATATAGATTAGCTATAGCTTTCATTAATATTATAAAATTGCATAAATTTTTATTAATAATAATGTAATATAGATATGTGGTAATTATTTTTTAAAAAAAGTTATATTAATATTATTAAATAGTATGTTTATATAATAAATTGCTAAAATAAAACTAATATGTAAACAATTAATAAATTATTTTTTATGAATTTTTTTTATTATTATTTTATAGAGTTTAGTTGCATAAAAGATAATTTTATTACTAAATGTTTTAAATATTTACGATTCTTTAATTATAAATATAAAGAAATTTCCTAAAAAACAAAAATTCTTTTTAATTTCTAAATCGAATAATTTTTTTTTTAATAAAATATTAAAAATTTATAATAAAAATTAAAAAGAAAATTAAAGAGTTAACTAAAATTATGAATTTGTTTTTGTTTTTTTTTTAAAAAAAAATAACTTTGATAAATATAAGAGCAAAACATAGTGCAATTATATAATAATAAACTTAATAAATATTATAAATAGTTTACTAAAGCAATTTTATCATTATATTAATTATTTTTATATAAATTTAAATTCTTTAAGCAAAAATATTCAAATAAAATAGATATTAATATCATATTTAAATATTATATTTCATCTTACAAATAATTAATAAGTTTCCTTGAATTTTAATTTTAAAAATATTAAATAAATTAATTATTAATTATTTATATGTATGTTTATCCATAAGTTTTATGATTTATCATTTCTTAATTTATTCATATTATTAATTATAAAATTGTTAATGAATATATTTAAAATCAAATAAAATATTAGCTTGAATATATTATATAAATAGAAAAAATAATACTTCTGTATTTATAAAAATCTTATTAAAATAAAAAAAACTATATATGTATGCATTTTTTTAGAAATAATATTAATTATATTCAACAAAATCTATATAATTTTTTCTCAATATTTTTTCTCATTCTCATTCTTACATCTCGTTTTTGTTGGCTTCTTATGATATTATGATTTTTCCTCTATAAGTAAAAAATAATTCGGGTCTACAATGTAATTTAAAATTTATCAATTGTAAAAAATCTCTTTCTAATTAGTTTATTTCTTAATTTGTAATGCCCCCAACTTTGGAATAATATTCATTATTATAATATTTATCATCAAAAAATTTAATTGCTACCATTATTGAACATATTAAAATTCTGCAAATAAATTATATATAATTTATATATTTAAAATATGCAAAATTCTTATAAATTAATTAAAAAACCTGTGAATATTATAACTATTTATATTAAATTTTTTATGCCTTTAAGTTATTCTATCAATATATATTAATGCTAAAATAAAACATTCTTATGAACAATTAGTACATCTAGATATCCTTAATAAATAATCTTTTATAGAGATATTTGGTATATTTTATCCATGGAAATTTGTTAAAAATTCTATTGGTTAATTATCAGTTTATTGAATTATTTCCTGTAATACATTTGCTATTATATTTAATATATCTTCTGTATGTAAAATTTATTATCTATTTATAATATAAGCTTCTTCATAAGAAATATTATCAGTTTAATCAATATACGCTGTTACTTATTCTTCTTATTCCATTTTTGTTTATATATTATAAATTTTTTATTTATATATTTTTATATTTTAAATAAAATAATTAATAAAAATTTGCTAATTATCTAAATATAAAATTATTTTTAATATTATTTAGTAAAAAAAGCTTTTTTTTTTTTTTCTATATACTTTTATTATTCATTAAATTTAGAATAAATTTTCTTCCTTAATAATTAGTTAAAAAAATAATAAAAGCTTAAAAAATAAATTGACATATATTTCAATTTTAAAATAATTAATTATCTATTTTATTTTAGAAATTTATTTTATTTAACACTAAAATTTTTATAGAACTTTTTGTTAATATTTAATTATAAATTATTAAATAAATAATTAATTTAATATTTTTTAATTCATAATTATTAAATAATTTATTTATTGTATTATCTTATATATATATATATATATATATATATATATATATTAGTAAAATCATATTATATTTTATCAATTTATTAATGTTTTACTTTATAAATATTTAAAGAAATATAAAGATTAAAAATATTTACATAATAATTATTTTTAATTTATTTTATATAGTTATTATTATTAATTAAAAATAAAAAATAATCAAAGTAAATAATAATAATAATAATAATAATTATAATAAAAAAAATAAAAATAATAATAATAATAATTATATTAAAAAGTAGATTTTATTTTTATAAATTTGTAATAATGAATATTTAATATATATTTGTATATAATATTTATAATTTATTTTAAAATTATATAATATGATTCTTTATAATTTTTAATATTTTAAATAATTTATTTTTTTATTGAAGTGTAATAATGAAATTAAACAATCATATAATTTATTTAATTTATAATTAATATAAATAGAAAAATTCTTAAAACTTATATTAATAAAAAATAAAAAATAATGTAAAAGAATTAAAAATTTTAATTCGAAATAACATTCCATAATATACTTTTAAATTTAGAATAAAAAAACATTTTTATAACTTTATTAGTTAAAAAAGGTACTTGATTATTTTAAAATAATGCAATATAATAACTATATTATATATACTTCCAAAAAAAAAGGGAATAAAATAAAGGAAACAAAGAAAATATATTTTGATTAAAATTATAATTCAATAGATATAAATGAAACATTCATTATTACATCAACCCTATTTAAAGATGAATAATAAAGAAAATATAAAGATAAATATGTATTTTATTAATATAATAAATATTATACATATATAAAATTAATTGTAAAAAGATTGAGATTTACATAAATAGTTACAAAGGAGAGAATAAAAACATTATTGGAAATATATAAATTTGTCTATCAAATTATGTTAATTTAAATATAAGATATGAAAATGGTGTAAAAATAGAAAATTGTGAAGATGAAAATGCCAAAATTTATTTTTTAATTTAGTGCTTAAAGTAAAATATAAAATAAAAGAAAGTATTTATTTTATAATTAATAATTTTTTTTTTTTTTTTTTTAAAAAAAAAGGCTCGAATAAAGTATATAAAATTAAAATTAAATTAATTTAAAAATAAAAAAAAAAATTATAATAAAAATAAATATATAGAAAAATATTCTGTTGATGATAAACTAATTTGTACAATTAATAAAAAATAAGAATTATAATCTGAATAACAAAGAGAATATAGAAACAAAAAAACGCTTAAATAATAAAGATTAAATTTAATAAATAAAGAAATCATTCTAAAAAGTTTATTAAAAGTATAAGAATTGTCTAATTCTTATACTAACCACAAAGAAGAAAAAAGCTATTAATAAATTTATATGTCTAACAAAAATAATGATAAGTAGAATAATATATTGAAAAAATAAAAGAATAGGAATTAATTATAATAAAATAGTTAAAATGATATTTAATAAAAATTATTAATAAAATAAGAATAATAATCATAAAAAATTGATTTAGATTAGTAAATTTAATATTTAAATAATAGTAATCAATCACATTTTACTCCCGATAAATATGCTAAAAAGAACTTTCTTTAAAAATTTCAAAAAATTGATAATATTGCAAATTCAGAATATTATTAATTAGAAGCAAAAAACTAAAATATCTCTAAAAATAATTAATTTTCTAATGAGTTTATTAATGAAGAGATAGAATATATACATACTGCTAATTTTTTAACAGAGAAATATAAAAATAAGAATCGAAATAATTTAGAATAATTTATATAGTAAATTTATAATGAAAAAACTTAATTCTCTGATAAATATTAATTTATGTTAGATTAATTTACATAAGAATAAGAAAAAGTTTTTTTTAATTTATATAATAACATAATTATATTTTTTAAAAAAGCTGTAATAAGAAATATTAGTTTCTAAAATATAAAATTAAAAATTAATAATAGATTTAAAATTGAAAAACTAAATAATAGAAACATAAAAATAAAATATATTATAATAGTATTATCCTATATAAAATTTAAAAATAGAATATGATAATAAATAAAAAAATGAAAATTTATAAGTTCTTAATACTAATAAATAATAAACAGAAAACGAAATTTTATAAAAGTAAATAAATAAAAAAGAAGATATAATAAAAGAATTAGAATAATAAGTAATATAATATATATATATATATATATATATATATATATTAATAATAATATATTAAAGATATAGTTTTAAAACAACATTATTAACTTAAAAATCGAAGAATTAAATTAATAAAAATTATTATAAGAATAAAATATTACTTAATTAAAATAATAATGTGAAATTAATTTAAATGATCAACAAAGTTATTTCATGAATTTAATATAGTAATATACGATTAAAATATCTTAATTATAATAAAACAATTCTAATTTTTAATTAGAAATTAAAAAAATAAATTCAACATCTTAATTATTATAACAATAATTAAATGAAAAAATAAATAACCTTTAAATACTTAATTAAAATTTAATAAATTAAATAGACTAAAAATAAAAACAATAAAATGAAAATTTTTACAATTTGATAAGGGAAGAATCAAATTAATGCGAAAAAAAATAAAACTATACAAATAAATTAAAATAAAATACATAAGTCGAAATATAAGATGAAAATTAAAAAAAATAAATATATAATAAACACAAAGATAATAAAATTAAAAATATAAATCAAAATATAGAAACAACAAATGAGAATATAAAAAAAAACATAAATGAATTATAAATAAAAGTAATAAATGATAATAAAAATAATAATAATTAATATGATAATAATAATTATGTTGAAAATATTATAATTATAAATAAAGATTATAAAGAATAATAAAATAATAATAATAATAATAATAATAATAATAATAATAATAATAATAATAATGATAATACTAATAGTTAAAATGTTATTAATGAAGAAATAATTTTAATGGAAATTCCTTAATTTAATGAAAAATCATTACTTAAATTAGAAAGTAGAACTGATTTACTATTACCAAATAATAATTTAAGCAAAAAATAAATATATTAATCATAATAAAACATTTAATTTATTGAAGAAAATTATAAGAAACAAATAATAGAATTGCATGAAGAAATATCTTAACTAAATTTTAAAATAGAATTACTTTAAAAATAAATATAATGTTAAAATTTTAGTACTGCCTTTTAAGTAGATTCAGAATAACATTAAAAGCTTTAAGAATAATTTATTTTACTAACTAAATAATATGAAAAACTAAATGTATTTTTTTATTTAAAATTTTTATATTTTTTTTTTTTTGCAGAATTCTTAAATGAATAGTTAAATTGAATATGAGTAAATGGTAAAACAAAATTAAAAATTTGAAAAAAGATGCATTAACTATGAAATGAAAATTAATGAATTATAATCTAGTTTATTATAAACTAAATAAGATTTAGCATAAGCCCTTAATTCAGCTTTTTAAGCTGGAGGTTCTTTTATTGACTTTTTAGAAAATTAAGTAACCTTTAAAGAAAACTGATTAAATATTAATTACTTATTTAGAACTAAATATTTAATAAATATTTTTTAAATTATTTTTATTTTAAATGATTAATTATAATATCTGTTTTGTAAAAAAAAAAAAAAAAAAAAATTATATATTTAATAATATAATATTTTATCATATTATTTCAAATAAATATTATTAAAAAATTTATAATATTTATTCTCTATTTTCTCTTTTTATATCTTTTAAAACCATAATTATAATTTTAACCCTTAATATTTTATATTTTTTGACATATATTGTTTAATATAAACTGTAAATTATGTTTTATATTTTTTATTGGCATAAAAAAATAAATTAATAACCTTTAGAATTAATATTATTTTATTTAATTTCAATATAAATCAATTTTATTTGATATAATTTAATATATTATTAAATAGATATTAGATTTTATTTATGTATGCTTTTTGTGTTTTTTTTTTTATACAATAAAAGAAATTCTAATGCAATTTCTTTTTTTCAATTTGCTAATTTTACTATGAATGTAATAAAAAACACTTGTTCTAATATTTAATTAATTTTAAATAATCAATAAATAAAATACTTTTATAAATAAATTTGGTTTTTTTCAAATTAATTTATTAATCACAAGTAAAGGAAAATATTAAATATGAGGATTTTACAATAAATATTTTTTACAAAAATGAAAAAAAAAAAAAAAATAGAATGTTTTTAATTTTAAAGAAAATAATTTATATTTTAATTATAAAATATAAATAATATATATCTTATAATTATTTAATTTTTTTTTTTATTAATTTTTTTTCTTCTATTATCTTCCTCAATTATCTTTAAAAATACGAATATTGAAATTTTTTATGGGAGAAAGGAAATTATACTAGGATTTTTATTATACATATATAATTTTTTTTTTTTTTTTAATGTATTTATTTTATTATATATTTATTTTTTATTTAAAATAAAAAAAATTATGAAAGAAATATAAATAAAAAATAAACAAAATTAGAATCAAATAAAGAAAATATATAATATAATAAAGTTTAGTAATCTAAATAATAATAAGATAATTAAAATATAGTGGCAAATTAAAATAATAATAGAACATCAGTTTTTAAGTTTAGTGAAAGAAGTGCATCTGATTGTTTTAATTAAATTGAAACTAACTTTTTGGAAAAATATTTAAACTAAATATTAATTGATGAATATATATAAAAATATTTTATTTTTGATATATAGAAATAAAACTTTTATTACTAAAATATAAATAACTTTTGCATTTAATCTATATTTGAATCAAATATATCTTTCAATTTAGAACAATTTATTAATGTTTTAAGAAACTAGTTAAAGTTATATTCAAACTAGAAATTAAATTTAATAATTATACCTTGTTCATGTTAAACTTAAGAAAATATTTAGGAAAAAGATATTATTTATATTTAATGTTACATTAAAATAACGCATACAAAACTTAAATAATTAAAAAAGAAAACCCTTTAAAATTTCATGAAATAATTAGAGATAGAAAATACAAACATAATATAAAATAAAAATATACATTTTTTAATTTTTTATAATGGAGATATTCATTATGATTTTAATAACGAAATATTAAAATAAGAGGATTTCTATAATCAGAATATTATAAACTCTAAATTTTTTATTAATATCTATTATATTTCTAAAGTTTCGCTTTTCTAACATTTTGCTAAGAAAAATAATAATTATTAGATTGAAGTTATAGATGAGAAAACTGTAAACTTTTATAATTAAACAAGATTTAATTTTAAACAAAGATAAATTTTAAAACAATTATAAATAATAAATGAATAAGAATAAAGAATATAAAACTTAATTAGGTTAAAATAAAAAAATAAAAATAAAATAAATATTTTTTTTTTTTTGCCTTTACTGTTTTTAGCACTAGTTCTTTTATTATTTACAAAAGATTTAAATAGTATTTTAATGTTAAATTTTTTAGGCGATGCTTTAAATTATGAGAAATACAGTTTATAAAATTAATATATTGTTTTAAAAGTTTAAAAAATAATTACATAGTTTTATTTTAAAAAATAAAAATTGGATATAATTATTAAAATATAAATTAAATATGTATTATTGTAAAATTTTAATTAATTTTTTATCATTAAGCTTAATAAATATTTTTTTATACAAATAAAATATAAATAATAATTAATTATACTTTTATTTAATAAAGTTAAAAATTTAAAAATATTATATATATACTTTTATAAATGAGTTTTTTTATTATATAAAATACTTTTATTATTATTTAATGAAATTTTAATATTTCTGAATATATATTAATCATTTAATACTTATATTATATTTTTTTTTTAAATATTTGAAGATGATATGCAAATTTTTAAAGGAAAATTTTTAAAAAATATTTAAAAGAAAGTATTTATACTAATTTTTATTATTTTTTTTTAAAAAAATAAAATTTTCTTGAAAAAGGAAAAAAATTAAAAATTTCCTTTATAATTAAACCAAATATATATAATATTTTAAATTTTTTATACTTTGTAGTTATAAATGTTTAGTTTATAATGATTTTTAAAGATTTCTATTATATATAAAAAAAAAAATGTTTGCATTATTTATTATTCTTTAATAAAAATATTTAAAAATTTATTTTATAGACATAATATATAAATTATATTAATAAAAAAATATTAATATTAAAATTTTATGAGTAATTATTAATAGAGATATAATAGCTATGAGTATAAAAAATAATATGAATAAAATTAAATAAATATAAAAATATATAAATAAATATATATATATAAATATATTTACATATATTTAAATATTTTATTTATTTATAAAAATACAAATATCTTTCTATTTGTTAATTTTTTTTTCTTAAAATCTTTTAATATTATAATCAATTTTAAAATGAATATAATATTTTTTTATAATTAAAGAATATAAATTTTTTGTATATATTAACAATTTCTTATATAAAAATAATTTTTTTTTTTCAATAAATTTAGTTATATAATATAGATGATATCCTTTTTTTTTTTGATTTTTTCAAAAAAATTGTAGAAAAATATATAATATAAAAATATAAACAATTAAATATAATTTATCAAATAAAATTTTATTTTTAATATAATTAAAATAATCTTCTATACTTAAAAAATAATATAATATAATCAAATAAAAAATAACATTTCATTAATTTAAAAAAAAATTATATCTAAAATATAAAATTAAATATACTTTAAAATATATTTAACGAATTAATTTTTAAAAATTTAATGTTATTTAATTTAAAATAATATGATTCATCTAAATTTATTAATAAATAATTATGTTTTATTAGAAAATTATTTAAAAACTCAATAATATTTATTCAAACTTTTAATATAATAATATTTATTAGCATAAAATTAGAGAAAAAATGAAAAAATATCACAAGTAATATATTAATTTAATAATATTTAAAATAAATTTTTAAATGATTTTTTTTTAAACTTTTTTTTTTAAACATTTTCAAGTGATTTGTTTTTTTTATGATTTGTTTATCAAATAAATTATAAAAAAATTTAAAAAATAAATATATAATTTAAAATAATTTTAATTAATATATAAATCAAAATAAATATTAAAATAAAAATAATGAATATAAATTAAAATTTTTAAATAAATGAAGAAAGTTCAAATGAATAATCTTATGAATAATATGATGATATAAACAATACATAAAATCAATTTATAAATAATTAAAATTAAAACTAAAATAATAAATAAAACAATCCAAATAATCAAATTAAGAGTTTAAATTACCAAACATATGAAGATTAACTCTTAGATCTTTAAAATAAAATTAAAAAAAATTTAAATTTATAATAATAAGAAGATGAAGAAGACGATGATAATGACTAAAAAGAGAATATTTAGCAACTTTATAACTAAAATAATAAAAATAATAATTAAATTTCCAACTATAATAAAAATAATAATTAAGATTATTAAGACGATATTAAAAGTGATGAAAATTCATATGATTAATAAAATAACTATTAATAATTAGATAGGGATAATTATTTAGCTCCAAAGCTTAACCATTAAGAGTGTTCTAAATCTTCTTATATAAAATCTAATAATAATAATTTATAAAAAGCAGCAACCTAACATAAATTTTTAAAAAAAGGAACTAATAATAATTATGGAATCAACTATCCGAAACTCAAAATTAACAATTAATCAAATTGTCAATAATAATATAAAACAATTTAATAATAAAAATAATAAAAAGAATAATATTAGGTTTACGAAGATGTAGAAAGACCAAAAACCTCAAGTAATTTTATTTTTTATTAAATAAATTTTATATTAAATAAAAAAAAGATACATTTAAACCTATTTATAAGGTTTCAATGAATTAATTTAAAATGGAAAATAAATAATTTGATTATACAAATAAAAAATTTAAAACTCTTATTAAAAAGAGTGATCCAGTTAGCAGATACTAAAATATGTAGCAATAATGGAAATCAAGTTAGTTAATTTAAAGTGGGAAAGAAGGAAGAAAGTTGAATTTGTCAGAAAGGATAACTTTATAAAAAACGGATATTGCTAAAAATAGATATTATTGAAAAATAAAAAAAAAATATCATAAAGATTATTAAAATTGCAATTTGTTTTTTTTATTTTTTTTCTTCTATATATTATATAATTTAATTCCAATAATAAATAATTATATTGAAAACTTATTTTATAATTAATTATATATAATATGTTTAGCAAATAAGTTATCTATTTTTAGGGGTTGTTTAGGCTAACAAAACTATTAAATTTTAATTTATTTTCAATATTCATTTTTCTCTATTCATTTTACTAAATATTTACTATGTAATGTAAAATTTTTAAGCCTTCTATTTTTAATATCAATTAAGTAATTATAATTTTAAATAAGTATCTTCTTCTAAACAAGATAATAGATAGTTAACTTATATAAGTTAATCAGCCTGATTTTCATTATATGACCACATATGAAACTGAAAATCGCGTGTTTTTGCCTTAATATTTAAACTTAAAATTCTGCTTTTAATTTTGAGAAAAATACTAAAATTATTTTATAATATTATTAATATAACAATAAAAACTGATTTTTTTGTTTTATATCATATTAAATATCTAGAAAAATATAAAAAACAAAAATATTTTAATAAAAACAAAAAATAAAATTTTATAAATAAAAAGTTTATTTTAGCAAATAAATATTTCATTATTTTACTCATTTCTATTAAATTTTTATTATTTATTTAATTTTTATTTATTATTTTCGATTTTCGAATTTTTTTTTTTATTTTTTCTGATAAAATAATTATATTTTTAAAAACAATAATTTTTTCCTTTTATTTTTTCCTTTTTATTTTTTATTTTTTCCTTTTTATTTTTTATTTTTTCCTTTTTATTTTTTATTTTTTCCTTTTTCCATTTACTTAGAAAACTAATAGTATGAATAGTATGATATAAATATTTTATGGCGAATTAATATAAAAATTTAAAAGCAAAAAAATATATTTATAAACATTTTTATCTAATTTTATTGCATTTTTATTAGCTAATACTAATTTTTTTAAAAAGTTCATATAATATAATAATATAGGAAAAATTTATGTAAATGTATGATCATGGAAACTCACTAATTCTCGATATTTGTAAGCGAAAAACATTCATGTATTCTGAAAACGCTAAAAGACCAAAATAGGCAACTTTGATAAAAAAAATATTAACCAAAACAGTAAATTAAATGAATCTAATATATAATACTAAATTCAAAAAGAAGATTCTAAAGAAATATAATAATAATATAAATCTAAAGAATATAAAATGAATAATTATTATTGATGAAACAAATAAGAAAAATTGATTCTGAAGCACAATAAATACTTGATCAATGAAGAAATAACAAAAAAGGGTCTTAAGATGTCTTATCCGTAGGACATAATATTTAAAAAAGCTGTCTTAATAAAATATAATATGTAAAATTGGGAATAAAAAAAATTAGATGGCTTGAGGCTCAACTGCATTGCTTCATAATTATAAATAATTAAGTAAATCAAAAATTAATTTTAGTTATGTCTACTATTTTATTATTTATTTTTTTAATCACAAATTAATTATTTGATAATAAAGAGTAAAAAAAAAATAAAAAAAAAATTAAATTAAAAAAGATATAAAAAAAAATAAAAAAAAATAAGGAAAAATAATATCTAAAAATAAACTATATAGAAAATAGAGTAACTAATCAAATAATGAAATAAATTATAATATAAATTTATACAAATATAAATAAATAATAATAAAAAAATAAAATATAGAAATTATTATTATAAATATTATTATTACTGTAATTATTATATCTATTATTATTATTATTATTTTTTTTTTATTATTATTATTATTATTATTATTATTATTATTAATATTATATATATATTTCCTATTTAATATATTATTTTTTAATTTTACTATATCTATAATTTATTTTGAGATATTTTTTATAAATATTTAAATTTATAATTAATATTGTTTTTTTTATTAATTTATTTGTTAATTTTTTTTATATAAAAAAAATGTTTTTTTTATTTGAAAGTATTAGAAATATTTTATACATAAATATTAATTTTTTATTTATATATGTTTTTATTAATGATATTTTTTAATATATAATAATATTCATTTTAAATTTTTTTTATTTTTTTATTTTTTTTATCAATATAAATATTGATATTTTTTATTTATTATTTTTACATATAATTTCTTTTTTGTATTGAATATTTTAATAATAATATTTTTATTAATTTTAAAAGCTTAAATATTATCTATTTTTAAAAATTTATTTATATACAATTTTATTTTCTTGTAATAATTAAAATATATTTTTTTTATATGAATTTTATATTTTTTCTTTATATATATTTTTTTTTATAAATTTAAATTTAAAATTTTTGCCTTTTATTTAATTTTTTTTCATATTTTTAATTTAAAATATTTAAAATATATAAATATTTTGATATAATGTATTAAAATTATTTAAATATTTTTTTTTAAAACAAATCATAATATATATATAATTATATAATTAAATAATATATATTATTCTTCATTCTCTATCATCTTTATAAAATATTTGATTTTCACATTTTTCGTTATTTCTTATTTATAAAATATTATTAACTGTCACTTAACAAATTGCATTTATAGCTTCCTAAGTAAAAAAAGCCTAATGCCCTGTCACAATAACATTAGGATACATTAGTAATCTAGCTAAATCATCATCATTAATTACTTTTTCACTCGAATCTTAAAAGAAGAAGTTTTCCTCATTTTCGAAAACATCTATTCCTACACCACCTAATTTTCCAGATTTCAAAGAATTAATAATTTCATCAGTTCTAATAAGTTTACCTCTTCCAGTGTTGAGAATATATGCACCTTCTTTAATTAATTCTAGTGATTTTCTATCAATGATATATTAAGTATCATAATTTAATGGACAATGTAAAGAAATAATATCACTTTATTATAAAAGTGTTTTCAAATCTACATATTTAGCATTATATTTTTCCTCAATTTTTTTGTCAGATTAAACATCATAACATAAAATATTCATTTCGAATCCTTTGCAAATTTACATAAAAGCCTATCCAATTTTTCCAGTTCCTATTACTCCAACTTTTTTTTGATATAAATTTATTCCTAAAAGTCCTTCAAGACAAAAATTTCCTTCTTTTGTCCTATTTTATGCTTTATGAATTTTCCTTACTAATGTTAATAAAAGAGCCATAGTATGTTCTGCTACTGCTTAAGGTGAATAAGCTGGTACTCTGACTACTTTTATATCTAATTCTTATGCTTTTTTTAAATCAATATTATTAAAACCTGCACATCTTAAAGCAATTAAGTCAACTCCGTTATTTTTTAGGGTAGTTAGACATTTTGCATTTAACTTATCGTTTACAAACGGTATTATTGTATTAAAACCTTATGTTAATATAGCTGTTTTTTCGTTAATTTCTTATGGAAAATATTCTATTTCTAACCTTTATTTCTTGGGTAATTAATTGTTTACTTTTTCAAAGAACAATTAATCATAGCTTTTTGATGAAAATAACGCAACTTTATTTTTATTTTACCAATGTTCATAAGTGCAAAAATTTTTAAATATTTAAAGCTTTCGGAGCATTTTTAGCTTTTTTTATTAAATTTATTATCTTATAAACTAAAAATTATGTTAAAATGAATATAATTATATATATTTATATATAATATTAAATTAAATTAATTAGTTTCTAATAAGTTATTTTAATTGATTTAGACATTCTGGTTATATATATAATTAAAATTATAAATTTAAGAAATTTTTAAATATCATAAAGTAAAAGAAATTCATATAATTCTTTTAATGTTTAGTTTTAAATAGAAATATCATATGTATTCTGATTTTAATTTATTTATATAAAAATTGTTTATTTAAAATATTTTAATAATTACTATTATTCATTATTCGTAACTTGTTTAAATGAATAAACATAAAAATTATTAAAGACAATATTTTTTTTATATTATTAGTTTAAACAACCTTATCTTTATTCTTTTTAAACATAAAAGGTTTTAATTGAAAAACTTTTTAAAAATTACAAAATTAGTTTAATTGATTTAGATATTAATCAAATATTTTTTATGATCATTAATTATTCAAATCTATATAAAATTTTTTGTTAATTCATAGAAAAACTTTTACTTTTTTTTTTTGATTGAATTATGATATCAATTTTTTTAAAGTATAATGAATAAATTTATTTGTAATAATTTTATTAATTAATGAATAAAAAAAAAATATCAAAAATTTAATGTTTTTCTGTTAAATATATAATATTTATTATGCTTCCTATTAGTATAAAAATAATGTAATGTTAATTTTTTTTTTTAATCTATTGTCAGAATTAAAAAATAAAAAAATTAATAGAAATATATAAAAGCTTAGGTTCTCAAATAAAAATTTTAATTTATTTCAAGGATTTATAATATTATTAGATATATTTTAATTTAATTAATTTATTTTTTATATAATAAATAAAAAAATTAAATTATTATATAATAAATGCATATTTTTTTTTTTTGGTTTAATTTACATTATAAAATACTAAGTATCAATAAAAGTTTTACTTTAAAATCTTATTATCATTAAAATAATATATTTTTTTTATTTAATTATAATTTAACAAAGTTTTAATATAAAAAATTAAATTCATATATATATTGATGACTTTAATATAAATAATTATTTATTTTGTGTTATTTTTTAAATTAAAAAAAATATTTATTTTAATCATTATAAATATATATAAAATATTATTTTAATTTAATATATATAAATAAATATATAGATATATAGATATATAAATATATATATATATATATATTTAGATTTTTTCATAAATAAAAAACTTTATATATTTATTATAAGTTATAATTTTAAAAATAAATAAATTAATTCTAAAACAATTTGTTTATTATTTATAAAAAAAATATAAATGGGTAATTTTATTTATTAATAGAAAACATTTATTTATCATTATTTCTTCTAAAATTATTGATATTAACTTAAGCCAATTAATGTTAACGTTAATATTCCACCACAATATTTAATAACTTAGTTTGTTATAACATCACAATTTTTTTTTTCAATTTTATTTTATTTTTATGTTTTCCTATAATTTTTATACAACTTTTCAGTATTTTTTATCAATTCAAGTGTAAAATATCCAATCAAATAGTGATATAATAATATGAAGTCTGAATGCTATGGATTTTCTATATTACATATTCCCCAAGGATATGATCTTCCATATATTGTTTCATTTTTATTTGTTTTTATACTTTAAATTGATGATATTACTAGAAATGGAGGGGATTATCCAAAAGGCCCTTACAATAATTCTTTTTGCTAAATTATTAATATTTTTTAATTAATTAATTAATTTTTTATTTTATTTTTTTTCTCATTTTTTACTATTTTATAATTAAACCAATTTAGTTTATAATTGCTTGCATCATTTAATAATGATTTCTTAATTTAAATAACCTCTGATGTTGTATATGAATCTCCTTTTGATAAAATTGGTATTATATTTACTATTTTTTCTAACTGTTTCATATTTTAAATATCTTATTAGCTTATTCTAGGACCTGATAAAAAATATAAACAACAATGTATCTTTTAATAAATAAATTATTTAATGAACAAAAAATGAAAATATTATTATTTACTCTTTTACTATCCTTCGTAAATAAAACACTTTATTATAATTATTCAGCTTTTAACTTTTTATATTTTTCAAACTTTTATTTTTTAAAAAATTATAATTAAATATTAAAAGTATATTTATATACCCTTTTTATGATATAAGATTATATGTTTTGAACCCATTGCTATAAATTATCGTTCTTTTAATATCCAGGAGTATCAATAAATTTAAGTATTAAATTTTATTTTCCTTCTTTTTTTTAAGCAACTTTTTTCTTAATTTATGTTGTTTTTTATTTTATAGAGGAAATTTTCTTTTATTATTAATTATTTTATAAAATTAATTATATTTTTCTTTTAAATACTTTTTATATATCTTTCTAAACCCAATTAAAATCATTATTTAAAACATATTAAAAATCTTAGAAATATTTATTTAAATGTTCATTTTAATTATCTTTATCAATTTCTAAAATATCATTTTTATTTACAAATTCATTTTAATAATTAGACTAAATTAAAAAAAAAAAAAAAACATGAAACACTTTTCTATTTTTTAACTTATTTACATATTTTTTCAAAAAAAAATCTATGAAAGTTGATTTTCCTAAACCTGTTTCTCCAACAACTATTATATTTAAGTAAATCTAATAAAAATTTGAAAATTACATATATATATATAATTTTAATAAATATTAATTTTACATCAGATTCAATTTGTTTTTCTCTATGTTATTAAAGTACTATAAACTCTTCGGAAATATATTATTGCTGCTAATTTAATTAATACTATTTAAAACTATTATTATCTTAAGAATTAATTAATTTAATAATTATTTTTTATAATATTATGTTAATTTTAATAGACCTTTTTTCTCTTAATTTATTTATGTAAAATTTTTATCTTTATCTTCCATTATTATTTTCAATTTTATTTTTTATTAAATAAAATTTAAAATAAATAAATATTTAGTTAAGAAAAATGATATCAACAACTATTATAAAAATATTTTAATTAATATTAGTTATTTTATTATATTATAAACATTTTTAAACTTTAAATAAATTGTAATAGTTTTTTTTTTTAATATATATATTATAAACTTTTTTATAATTTTAATATTAAAATAAATTATTATTTTTAATATAATTATTGCATATTATATATTAATTAAAAAATTGAATAATTAATGATTTTAATCTAAAAATGAATATATTTATTTTAACCAAATTTTTTTATTACTTTTTATGAATATTAGGTTATTTTTGATTTAATTATATTAAATTATATAATTAATTTTTTATTAATAGTATATAATTATATTTAAAATACATCTTAAAATTGAATAAAAAAGGAAGATGACACTTAAAAACGATAAAAAAGTTAATTAAATATTTTTTTTAAAAAAATGTGATAAATATATGTAAATATTTTTAATATTTGAAACCATTTTTTGTTTATTTGTATAGTTTAAATATACTTATTATAATTGTTAGATAATTTTAGTCATTTTATTTATTATTATATTTTTAATTTTAAGAATAATAAAAAAGAAGAATATTGGTTTAGTATCTATTTTATTTATTATAACATTTTAAACATTCATTATAATAACTATGAATAAAAATACAGTATGCAACGTATCAATCTGCCATAAAGAAGAGATAATATAACTAATATAATTAAGATTATTGATTATATCAAAAAAGATTAAAAAAATTGTGATATTATTTAAAAAAACGGATAAGACATTAAATCTCTAACTGACGGAATTTTGAGTATGTTGTGTATATTTTATGATTATATTTTTAATACAAATGAATTCTGTAAATATGAAAATAAATAAATTAATATATTTGCTAAGAATTAGTTCTAATAAAAGTTTTTTAAGTTTTTACAGTTTTCTTATTTTTAATTTATATTTTGGACCATTTAATGAGGATTAATATATTTAATTGCGATTTTTTAAAGGAATAAAATTAAGAATAATAAAAAAATGATATAACATTGAATTTAGTTTAAAATATAGAATTAAAATGATAAAAAAAAGACATTTATTTTTTTATAAAAACATTAAATTTTAAATTTAAAAAATATTTTTAATATTTAAAAAATAAAAAAATATATTATTTTTTCATATGTCCTTTTTATTTATATTTATAATTTTTTTAAAAAAAATTTAATAAAAAAATAAATATATAATTTTTTTTTTTTTCCTTAGCATTTTTTAATTAAGTTCTTATAAAAAAATTTACTTAAAAAATAAAAAAATAAATATAAACAAATTATATATGAATATACAGAAAATACATAATTCATCAACATCATCCTATTCTCACATATCTAATAAAGAAAATCTAAACATATAATCATCATCTAAAGCATCATTAGAAACATAAAGCTCAACATATTATAAATAATCACCAATATACAATTATTTGTAATAACTAATTCCAGATTTATATTGTCATTAAAAATCTTAAATAACACATATATGTATAAAGTGTGTTTAATTAATATGCTAATAATGTGTTCTTAAAATTCATTAATCTCACTATTGTTTAAGTATTCATTAACTTTTTGATTTTCCTATTCTTTGTTTCCTTTAAAAAGACTAATTAATAAGTGAGACAATATAATAATCATCACAATTATACTAAAAAATAAAAAGTCAAACTGAAACATCCAAAAAAGTTCTTAATGATTATTTATAAAATTTAATTTTTACAATAAAAGAATAAGCCAAGTAAATACAATCGAAATTCGAAAATGAAATAGAACAAAAACTTTAAAAAATAAGAGTAAAAATAGATTAAATATAGTAAGTTTCCAATGTTTATAAAAATGAATGGGATAACTTATTTACATAAGAGCTTTCTACTAAAAAATAAATTGAAGATATATATCATTAATTTTTATAAAAAAGCGAAAATCCTGAAGAATCTATTAACCTTTCTTATTAAAGCCTTTAAAGTTAACTAAAATCAATACCAGAATTAAATGTTTAAGCTTTTAAAGATTTATTTCATCGTTTTTCGGATTCTAAACGTTTTTCTTATGATTTTTTAATTAAAAATAATAACCATCTCTCTTCTTTATAATTTACTAAAAAAAACAGTATAATTAATTCGTTCAAAATAGCTTAATTTTTCCCTTTTTTAAGCCAAGGACAATCTCATTATTTAACTCTGTGTTCAGATTTTTAGACTATTACATTTTTTTCAGATTAAAAAGAAATAAATAAAATTATTAATTAATAAAAAGAAGATTATATAAATTATATTTTACCACTTAGAAACTCAAAAATAATTGCAATTTGTTCGAATTAGAACTTTAAGCTTTTTTGTGCACAGAAAAATTTATAGATTTTTACAACTAAACACAATTGCTCATCTGCAATAGAAATTCCTTACCAAAATATAATCACATTGGATAGAGCAGGTTATATTCATATCTATAACTTCGAAAATTTGAAAAAAGTATATAAAAAAGTGACTTTAAATATCAATATAAATCCTTCATCTGTTGATTTTTGTATTCTTAATTCTCAATAAGTGATTTAGAATATAAGAACAAATATGTATGAATAAGAAATATTTTGCGTAGGTGAAAAAGATGCGAATAAAAAGCACCTAATATAAATTTGGGATTTAAATTCTTTATAAATGGTCAAAACCTTATATTCTGAATTCAAAAAAAGTGGAGTTAACAAACTAAAATTTATTCCTTAATAAAATATTATTTTATGTTTGTTAAATTGTGGAAGTATTATTTTTTTTGATTTTATTTTTTCTAATTAGGCTAAAATAATTAAAATAGATAATTAAATTATTTCTGATAATTTTTTTATTGATTTTTGTGTTCTGGATTAAGATAATACACTTTTCTTAAATAAATAGGGAGTATTTTTAGTTTCCTTATAATAAAGTAAAGTAATTGATTAAGTTTGTCAGAATAATGATGACTAATTTGAATTTAAATGCTTATTTTTTTTATAAGAGTAAAATTTTACAGAGTAAATTTTTATTGTTAAAAATAATTTTAACACTTCGAAAATTGATATTTTAAATAAAATATGAAATAATTTAATATTTATATGTATTTTATTAATATATCTATTTATAAAATAAATTTTTAACTTTTTTTTATATATTTAAAAAAAAACTGCTTATTATTATCTAATTATTATAAATATATATTTTAAATAAAATTTTTAAAAATGGTTTTTCAAAAAGTAAGAGGAAATATTTCAATAAAATCTAATATCTTTAGTCCTAAAATAATTACACCTTAAGATTTAAGAGGTAGAGTTTTAGATATTAGTTCCCCTCAAACTCAAACATATATATATTAATAAAACTAATAAACTATGGCATCAATAATAAAAGAAATTTATATACCAGAAGATTTAAAATAACATGAATAGGAAAATCTTAAAAATTAAGTTAAGGTTATTAGTTGCATAGAGGAAGAAGAAAAAAGGAATAATGAACTTTTAAATTTTGAATAAAAATTAAAATTGTTAATGGAATAATTTAATTCTTAAAAATTGGATGCATTTGTAAAAAAATATTATAAAACATAATTTATTATTTTTATAGGAAATGGCTGATAAAATATCATAAGAAATTATAAAAAATTAGAATATTTAATAATAGAAGGTTTATAAAAGCGTATAATAAACTTAAAAAAGAGTGTATTATAAAATAAATAGTGATTTATAAAAATAGGAAGAAGAGAATAAGAAAGAAGTATAAAATAAAAATTATAAATTCTTAAAAATTATAAAAAATTAAGAAAATAGAATTAAAAAGATTATATAGATAAATAAAAGAAATTGTTTAACATATATTATAAGGAGGAGGAGAGTAAAAATAAAATATTTAAAATTATATAGTAATATTTATATATTAAAGAAAAAAGTTTAAAAGACTAATATAAGATTAAGAAGATAAACAACATATAGATTTAGATTTTGTAAAAAATAAATAAAAATATGTAGGAGATTTAAAATCAGCAGTTGATATTTACTAAAACATACGTTTACTTTTGAGCAAAAAAACAGAAGAATTTTAACTCTTGAAGTAAGTCCATGGGGAAGATTTTCATACTGATCATAGTATTTTGAAAGATTTATCAGAATCAAGAAATGATTCGACATCAATAGCTTCAGAAAAGTTAAGTAAAATTTAGGAAGATTTAAAATAATCTGAAGAAGATTAGAAGCTTAGTCAATTCTATTGTAAGTTTTTTGTACTATTTATTTTACTTATAAATAAAAATACTTAGCTACAAAAAAATTAAAATAGTAGTGGAATTAAAAAAATGATGTTTAAGTCAAAGATAGCATAAGGAGGATTCTAACAAGAGATGTTTTAAGTAATGCAGAAAGACTTAAAGTAAAGTAAGAAATTGAAGAAGAATAAATTAGATAAAAACTAATAAAAACAGATCCTAGATTTGCGAAATTATTCAAAGAAGAATAAAGAAAAAAATAAGAGAAATTATAATAAGAAAAAGAAGAAAAACTGAACAAAATAATAAAGAGAAAAAATAAGCTAGTGGAAAATTTAAAAAACAAAATTGCAGAAAATAAAGATGACTAAGAAAATACAATATAAAAAACAAATAGTAATTCTAAAAAAAAGTAAAGAAATCCATAATTAGAAGCAGAAACAAAAATTTAAAAATAGTTTTAAGAAATTGCTAAAAATCTAAATTTTTCAACTGGAGATTTATTTATGAGAACAAAAAAGTATCATATTATTATAAATTAACTTTTTTAAATTATTTTTTTTTTTTAAAGTTACACGGAATTGTTTATGTAAAAAACATGCTAGTTTTATAATTCAAATAATTGATAAAAGAAAAAAGCATGATACAAAATGATAAAATAATATATATACATAAATTACCATTAAGATTTAATAAATATATATAAATATGAAAATTATAAAAATTCAAAATTCAAAATATATTAATAAATTTAATAAAAATAATATGAAAATAAAATAAATATAAAAAATTAAATTTAATTAAAAAAAAATAATATTAAAATAAAAATAAATCTAATAATTATTAAAAAATAAATTAAAAAAAGTAAAGAAAATTTAAAATATTATAAAAAAATTTATAAAATATAAAAATACAAAAAAGCTTAATTATTTTTAAACATAAATATTTTTTATATATAATTTATTTGCTTTATTTTATTATAATATAATATAATATAATATAATATACAATATAATATATTTTAATATAATATAAATAAATATAAAAATAAAAATGAAAGCAATATAATTTAATACAGAAATATACTAAATAAACAATTAATAAAATTCATAATACTTAAATGAAGGAATTGATTGGATGAAAACTAAGTTCTATGAAAATTATGAAAAAATAATAACGATAATAGTAAAAAAAGTTTCATAAAATAAGCAAAATAATACTAATGAAACTGAAAACATATAAAATAACTAATAACCTTAAAACTAAATTCTAGCTGATTAATCTTAAAATGATTAAAGTAATTAGTCAATAAAAATATTTGATGAAGCTTTGTAATATTACAATTAAAACTAATATAATTAATCTTTGCCATTATTTTAGACATTTAATAAAGAATTACAAATAGATTCCGAATAAAAATTCTAATAGGCAGTTTAATCTTATTCTTATGTTGCTAATATTTATTAATCTTAAAACAATTTAGTTGAAGCAAAAAATTAATATTTCATATTATTAAGTATAATCTAAGAATTTTAATAAAAACATAATCTAAGTTAATAGACAATTGAATATCAATACTACTACATTAATTATTAATTAGGAAATTTATAAAACTAAGATAAGTAATTTGACTAATCTATAGAAAACTGGAATTAAGCATATAGACATCTTGAGACTATATAAAGTAAAGAAAATTAAAAATTATAATCTGATTTATTAAATAATATTGGAATGGCTTATTATCTAAAAGGAGATTTTAAATAATCTATAGAGTATTTTTAAAATTCTTTATAATAAATTTAAGATTTACTTAATGATAATGAATATAAAAACAATATATAATTATTAAATACATAAGGAAATAGATATAATAATGTTAATTTTTTTTTTTTTTTTTTATATTTAATAAAAAAATTAAATTAGATTGGTGAAGCTTTTAGAAAAGTCTAATAATATGATTAAGCTGAAAGTTCATTTTTACAATCAATAGAATTAAAGCGTTAATATTAGCAATAAACATAAGATTATTCATTAGATTAATAGAAATCTTTAGGAACAACTCTAAATAATTTAGGTATTAATTAATACTATTAAAAAAATACACTTAATCAATTGAAAACTTATCTGAAGGATTGTCATAATATGAAAAATTATAAGGAGAAGACTTTTAATTAATTATTTCTAATATTAAATCACAAAGAGCTGATTGCTATAAATAAATCAAATAATATAATTAAGCTTTATAGGATTGTAAAAATGCATATGAGATAAAATTGAATGTTTTAGGAGAAAATCATAAATAGACTTTATAAGCATTATCTAACTATGCTCAGTTATTATATATTAATAAATAACATGATATTGCAAAAGAAATGTTTGAGAAACTACTTGAACTTTAAAAAGCTGTTTTTGGAGAAAACGATTATAGAATAGGATAAACATTAAATAATATTGGAACTGTTTTATCTGATAGACACTAATATGATGAAGCTGAAAATTGCCTAACTAAAGCAATAGAAATTCTAGAAAAAGATGGAAAATTATCACCAGATAATATTGAAAAAATAAAAAAAAACCTAAGAATAATTCAAAATAAGAAAAATAAATAATGAATTTTTATTAAAAAAATATATAAAATAAAATATTATATTAAAATATTAAAAACAATAAAAATTTAAATAATAAATAATTAAATTTATTAGAATCTTATAAAATAATATTTTTTTTTTTCTTTAAAAATAAATAAATGTGAATACTAATTTTTTTTAGCAATTTAAAAAATGTAAATAAAGAAAATATTTATATTATTAAATAGTTTATTAAATGTTTTTTTTTTTTTAAATATTAAAAAATTAATTATTATAAATAAATAAAACCATATTTTATTTAATTTTATTTATAATTATTATAAATAAAATATATTTCCTATATATTTAATAGTTTGTCATAACTTTTATTTTATTATATTAAAAAATTTATAAATAATCATAATTATGTGATGATTCAGGACAAATGAAATTTAAGAATTATTTATATGATTCTTAATTTTGTGATGTTTTCTAGCCAGGTCTGACAATATTTATTTTTTTAAAGTTTGTCTAACTTAAAATATAATTTTAATATATAAAAATAATTATAATTATACTTTTTTATAAATATTAAAATATATGAAAATGACAAATATTTTTAGAATTAAAAAAAATTAAAAATAACAAATAAAATTTTACTTTATTCTAGATTTATTTTTAATTTTATAATAAAGTATATAATAAAATTGTAAATAAAATAACAGCATTATATAAAAAAATATATTTATAATAAATATTCAAAAGATATCAAAATTTATTTAATAATTTTAATATAATAATACTTAAATATAATTTTATTTTATATAAAAATACATATACAAATAATATTTTTAAATTAATTTTTGTATATAAATATTTATATTATTTTATAAAAGGAAAATTTTAAAAATAAAATATATTACATAAAATGGATAATTATTTTACAGCTATAACACTTCTTGGTTTAAGAGATTAAAACTTACCTCCTTTTAAGTAATATTTTAATTAACATTTAAAAAAACAAAAATATTTATTTAAATAATTTAAAATTATTAAGAGATGCGAGATTATAAAGATATAAATCAATAAAAAAAATGATTGATTTAATAGAAACAGCAACAAAACTATATCCAAAAATGCCAATTGAATTATTTACTCTTAACCCAACTGATCGTAAAAAACTAAAATTATATATTTATAATTTAACAAAAAAATTAATAAATATAATTATATTATTTCATTTAATAAACTTAATCTAATTTTAATATATAATACAATTAAATAATTATAAAAGAAAAAATATAATCATAAGATCAATAATTTAATATTAATATTAAATAATTTAAATAAATATATTACAACTATACTATTCGATTTGTAAAACATATGATTCTTATGCATTTATTATTTTTATATTTATATTTTTTAATTGCTATTCTTTTATATTTTTATTACGTTTATTTAATTAAAATCTATTTTTTATTATAATAGCTGAATGGGACGATGATATGACTTATCCTTCAATTTAGTATAGTACTTTACTATACAAATCAACGGCTTTAGCTGGGAATTTAGTATTTTAAAATTTATATATTTTTAATTTGTTAATAAAAATAGTTCCTTTATGCTTATAACTATAATAATTATACTAGTAATATTAGATTTAGAACAATGAGATATTTCTTTCCTATTGTTTCATTTGCTATTTTCGGAAACATTTATTGGTTTTTTTTTTTATAAAAAGCAAATAAAAATATCATATATAATTTTTATAAATTATAAGGGATTACAGAAGTTAGTTGACCAGAGTAAATCTTTTTGATGAATATGTTTAATTAAGATCATAAGAATTAGTTAAATAAAATGAGTATTTATTAGAGCATGAGGGTTAATTATATAAAAATTTATATATTTTTAATTAAATAATTTTATATATAAAGATATTAAAAGATATGTTTGGTGGAATGAAGACTTGAAAGAAACTCTATTAAGAGTACACAGATAAGCTAATAATCATTAAAGTAGTGATTTTTAAGATTCTGAGCTTATATTATAAGATTTTATTGATAGATATAGTGATAGCAAAAATATTAGCTTTTTATCTAAATGAAAAAAAAAAAAAAAAATTATTCTATATATTTTTTTATGTCAATAATAAAATAAATTATTATTGAAATATTTTATTTTAACTAAATAATAAATTCTTTAAATAAAATAAAAAAATTAATAAGAAATATTTTTTTTTTTTAAATAAAAAAAGTTTATAAATATAAAACATATAAAAGAGATTAGAGATTTATTTAAAATAAAAGTTTTATAAATAAAATTATTTATTTATTATATTTTAAATAAATTAATATTTAATTTTATATATTTTCTTATATAATTTATTTAAAAAATATCATATTCTTTTTAATATCCAATCAGCTACAACTTAATTCATTTCATAAATTTCTTATTCTTTCCACATATTATGCCAACAATTATTATAAAAAATATGAGTTTTATCTTCAGAAGGAGATTCATGATTTAATTAAAATCCAAGTAATGGATCAACAAGTTTATCTTTTCCTGCGGTCAAGCATAAAAATCTTGCCTTATAATCTTTATATGTATTTTCTAATTAAGATGATAAATTAAGTATATGTTTTATTGTTCCGACAATAATATTTCCATTATAAGCATAAGGATCTTTCATTAGTTCGTCTGGGACATTTAAATTTTTATTTGATAATCCAAATCTTTAAGCTTATTTTTTTTTCTATAAAAAAATAAAATATTAATTTACGTAAAGTATGAAGCTTAGGATATATTGAAGCCAATATTCCAACAAAAAACTTTCCAATACGAGAGTTATATTTATTATCCTTAATTGCTGGAGCATATAAAATTACTCCTTAAAATCTATTTGGATTGTCTAGTGATAGTTTATATACAGTAGATCCTCCCCAACTTTATCCAGCAATGAATATTTTTTTATTAGAATAAATATTTTCTATTAATGAGACAAACTTATTTGCATCTTCTATATGTTATTGTACTGATTCACAATAGCCTCTAATTCCTTCACTTTTACCAAATCCTCTAAAATCGTATCCTACTACTTCTATTCCTTTTTTACTCAAAAATTCAGCTATATGAGAAGATTAGCCTATATGAGAATTTAATCCATGAAATATTATTAAAACTGCTTTTATTTCATTTTAAGCTCTTTACTTATATGTTGCTAATTTTATAACTTTATTTTCTTGAATTACATTAAAATCTATCCAATTTTCGATTTCATATTTAGAATCTTGGCCTGGTACTGGTGATCTATCTGATTCTAGTTATTTTAAATCCATTACTTATTTCATATAATTATCTTTATATTCTTCATTTTACCATTGAATATCATTTATATTAAAACTCATAATATTAATTATAATTTATAAATGATTAAAATTTAATATATAATTTTATATAATAATTAATATATATATATATATATATATATATATATATATATATTTACATCATATTATTAGTTTTTTTTATAATATATAAATAAAATCAATTAAAAAAATAACCATTAATTAATCTATTTTACTATTTTTTATATTCTTTGCTGATTGAGTATTTTATAAAAATAAAAGAAAAAGTAATATGAACATATAATATATTTTTTTTTTAAGAATTTAGAATTTAGCTTATATTTAATTTTAAAAATAAAATTATTTAAAAGAAATGAAATTCATTATTTTATTACATATACATAAAAAAAGATTAATTTTATATTTATTAATTTTATATTTTATTAGATAATATATTTTTAAAGATACTATTTAATTATTAATTTTTATTTTTATAAAATAATTAATTTTAATGTAAATATTAAAATAAATTTTCTTTTATATCTTTTAAATACAATATTTTATACTTTTTGTTTATATAATCAATCAGATTCCTCTTTTATATTTTTTTTCTAATCTGAAGGTAATGTTCTTATTGGTACAAAATCTATTTTTTGCTATCTAAGCTACTTTATCACATACTTTTCTATTTGATTGCATTCTGTAAAGTTTTTCTATTTTGTTTAAATAATAAACATCATTAAATGATACAGATTGTGTTCCAAATACATATGATATTCCCATGCTATATTTGATTAACTTTATCCTTAAATAATATTTTTATCGATTCCCTTTTTTATTTATTATTTAGATTTATTATATAAAATATATTTATTTACACAAATATAACATTTGCTGTTTATATCTTAAAGGATTTAATCTTTTTCTGTTCTTAATTCACCAAAAGTATCTAAAATTATACCAAAAAATATTTGAATGAAAAGTGTTTATATTATTATATAGTTTGTTAAATCAAAAGTATATCTAGCCCAATAATAATCTTCATCAGAATAAGGATCATTAAATTAAGCAATACCAAGAGCTTCAGAAATACCTCCACCGTTTCTTAGAGATTCTTTAATTGTTGAAGTAATAGTAGTTATATATGTTTAGCCAAACGCATTTTTTTCTGCTAGCATATAATAATTAAACTTATTTTAAAATGCGATAATTCCATAAATATACATTATAATAACTCCCAAACATGTAAAAACAAAAAGATTTCTCAAATTCAGTAAAAGATTTAATTATACTTTACAAACCATCGCTTTGCTTAATAATATCTAGAAGTAATATACTATATATAATCGGACCTTTTGTGTTGAATGCAAGTATACTTAGTATTAAATAGCCTATATTATAAAAATTATCCAAATCAATTATAATTAATATAAAATATTTAAGAATGCTATTATTATTTTTTTATGGTTAAAGAAATTCCACAAGTTATAATATTTTACTTTTTTTATTTTTATTTTTTTAAAATAAATATAATATAATTTTATAAAAATAAAAACTTTTTAAAAAATGTGTATTAATTTTCAATAATAGGGCCGGATGTTGTCTTTAATTGTTCAATTCTAGCTAAAGAATCTTTATTTGAAAATTAATTTATTGAAATTTTAAATCTATTTATTAAAACTATTAAAAAGTAAAAAGATGCTAAAAATAATTCTATAATCTAAAATATAAATAAAACAAGGAATTATGTATTATCATCGACCTTACTATATATGATATCGAATTTTTATTCTTCATTAAATGAGTTTATGACTAATAAAAACTAATTAATAAATTACAATAATATATAAAATATAATTACATAGACCATTTATAATAATAACAACAGCATACAATAAGTTTTTAATGGTTTAAATATTGTTAATAAAGAATATTAAAAGCTTTTTTTAAATTAAAAAAATATATGAACATAATAATAAAATTTACTTGTTATTAAGCAAGTTTTTATCTATATATCATCTAAGATTTGTAAAATTCTATATTTTCTATCAAGAATGTTATTCTATCAATATCAGAAGAACGATCTGATTCAAATATCTAATAACAATTAAATATTTAAAATTAAATTTATATAATATATATTAATTACTATATGTTAATTTATTTATTCCGTAATGAAACGAGATATAAATGGTTTTTAAAAATATAATTTTCGATTATATTATTATTCATCTAATATATAAACTATTCCAAGTTATTATTTAAAGTAATTTATATGGTTCTCTCTTTTTTTTATTATATTTTAAGGTTAGATATTTTCTTTCACTATATTTTCGACTTCATGTGTTATTTTTTATGTAAAGTTGTTAATTTTAGAACTTTTTTAATTATTTTGATTTTATAATTCGACTATATTTTTTGAGAAGCCTTTAACAGTTTTGTATTTCTAAAAAAATAAAATATTATAAATATTAGATATTATTATTTTATCTATATTACTTATTTGTTTTATTATTAACCTTTAAGATTTTTTTTTTTATTTAGTTTACATAATTCATTATAACTTTCTTCATTTTCAGAACTATTAATTTATTAATTATTATCATTTAAATTGTCTTTGTTTTCTTTAATATTTGAATCATTATCTTACTTTTACACAAGTTAATCAAATCTATTTTTTTGGTCATTATCAAAATTATTTTCATTTAGTTTTATAAATTAAGATAACTTTGTATTATCTTTTTCTTATTCTGTAAAATAACACATTAAAACATAAATATCGAATCCTATATCATAAATTTATTTATCTAAATCAGTAAAATTACCTTTTTTACAAATTTGTTTAGTACATCCTAAATTTCTTTCACATTCACATTATTTATTTAAGTTTAACATTTTTTTAATTTTATACATTCTTTATTCATATATATTTTAAAGAATTTTTATTAACTCATCACAGTCAATAGTATCAATAATATTAACTATTTTATCATTTTCTTTATTAGAACATAGTTGGAGTAAAAACTTAAGGCATTTAGATAAAACATTAATTTACATATTGATATTTTTAATATTTTCATAAGTTTATTATAAAATATTAACTTATTATTATTTTCTAAAATCGATTTCATTTTTTATAATTTGTTCTTAAATTAAATATAAAAATTTATAGTTTTAACACAATAGCTTTGCATTTTCTACACTTCCAGTACAGAAATCAATTAAAGTATCAAAAGCTTAACAAATTAAAGAGTTTTTGAAATTCATATTAACAATCTAATCTTCTAAAAGCATGCATTAGAAATTACATACTTCGTTTACTAAATTTATATTTGCATAAATTTAATTATCATTAGGATTTAAAAAATTTTACTTTCTTAGGAAATTCTAAAAATCACTATTTACATTTTCACAGAACAATTAAAGAATTCTAAGTATATAAATTGCTAAAATTTCATATTATGTTTTTTATAAAACATTATTAGTTTTCTGTATTTTTAATTATTACATATTTTAAGGGAAGCTATTCATTAACTTATTTTTGAAAAATTAAAATATATTAAAGCAAACTTATTTTTCATTCGTTAAATATTTAAAAATAACAATTTAGCTAACCTAAAACAAAATAAATATATAAATGTATATAAATATATATATATATATATATATATATATATATATATTTTTACATTAAATCCAAAATTTAATATCTATATTATAAATTATAAATATTCGAAAATAACATTTGTACTACTATTCTCATTTATATTATTTAAAACATCAACTATAATTTATTATTAACTTACTATCTAAAATTAATATTATTATTAATTATTTAACAAAAATATTAAGTTACTAAAAATTAAAATTTTTGATAATTCTCCATTTTCTTTATAGCATATTCATTTTTTCTTTAATCTTTTTAATTTATAGAATCTTCTATAGTTTAGCTATTAAACTAATTTAATTCTAGAAAAATCCTAAGAAATTTGACTAATATTGACTATATAATAAAAATATAAAAATTTAATTAATAAAAATTTCAATTACATTATCAAATTCAAATATAAATTTAGAATTTTCTATAAAATTTGTTGTATTTGATAAAACATTCTATTAAAGTATTTCTTCCATTATTATATGATTTATTAATGATTCTTATAGATTTATTTTACTTTCTAGTTCCTAATTATGGACAAGATTATCATTATCCTTATTAATTATTTTCCAAATTTTATATAAATCACAATTTGATTACTATTATATTTTTGTTTTTGCGTTTTTCTATTTTTAATGTTTTATAAAAACTATTTTATAAATAATTTATACCTTTATTTATTTTATATCTTTCTCAGTATCTATATTTTATTCTTTTTATGCTATATTATCCTATAAAATAATATTTTGTGTAATTACAGTAATTTAAGATTATATTTTAAATTCTTAGATATTTTCATCTAAAGCTTTGAAGAAATCATTAATATTAAATTTTTTTTTTGCATTATAATCATTATTACTTATTGCTTAAATAATTAATTCTTTATTAATTATATTTTAAGAGTTTTAATTAAGTATTTTTATTATGAAATTTAATTTATCATTTGCATTTTATATATTTTCTTACTTAATTAAATTACAAATATTTTATTTAAAATTTTGTAAATTTATTCTTTATCTAAACAAATATATATTTATATATTACATTAATATATATAATGGTGTCGAAGTTTTTTATTTATTATAAGTTTATACTGTATTATTTATTTACACTATTAAATTAAAATAATGCAAAACCTTCTAAAACTATTGAACTATTTTAGGATTAGAGTTTTTAATATTTATGTTTATAAATTGTTCCAACTTTTATAAATAGTCTTATGCTTATTTTAATATTTTGTTAAACATTTAAAACTAATTTTATTGTGGGTCTTATAAAATATTCCTTTTTTGACAATAAATATCAATAATAAAATGTATAACTCCTTCATAAGTTAAAAATTTCCAATATTAATATTAATTATATTAATTTTAATATATATTGGCTTTAATATTTTATTAATAAAATAAGCCTTATTCGTTTTCTTTTAATTTTTCTAATTCTAAATTTCTAAATATTAAATTTTAAAAAATATCATATATTTCTTCCATTTCATTCTATTAAAAACTTTAGTTATCTTAATTACAATAATCATTATTTTATAGGAATATTTCAAAAATCAATTTTAGATAAATACGTTTACATATATAAGGAATATTTTTTTAGTATAGTATTTATTTAAGTTCATCATATTCGAATAAATTTTTAATTTCATTAATACTCTATTAATTATTTTTACAACAATTAATTATTAAATCCAAAGCTAAATTAAAAAAAATATTAAATATAAAATTAATTATAAATATTATTTTTTACATTTTATATGAATATACAATTTATAAAAATTAAATTCATTTAAATTTTTAATGACATATTTTTAAATTTAATTATATTTAATAGGCTTTATTATGTAAAGCATTATTTTTAAATGAATAATATTAGTCAATATTTAAATTTAATTTGTCTCTAAATTTTAACAATTTTAACCAAAATTAAGAGATTTTAATATTTTCAAGTATTATACTAAGGCTTACATTTTTAAAATATCCTATTTTTATATAATATTATTTTATTGTTCCCCATTATATGAATCATTATCAAACTATAAAAGTTAGTAATAATTAAATAATTTTAGTATTTTGTTGAATATTATTTTTATAATTTGTTAACACTAGTGATACTTAAATTTTGCATTTGTTAAAAGTTCAGAACATAACTGTTTTATATATATATATAAATATATATATATATATATATTATATATTTATATATATGAAATATCTAATTAATATAATTTATATATATAAAAATAATATTTACAATAATTTAATTATTTTTTTTTTTAATTTTTAACAAAATTATATTTTAAATTATTTAAAATAAAAAAAAATATAAAATTTATCCTTTTTTTTAATACTTATATATTTTGTTACTTTATTTTTATTTAAAATTTCTTTTTCGTTTTTTAGTTATTTTATTGTTATTATATCCAAATTTAAAAATATTTTAAGTTAAGAAATCAGAATTTTCTAATTATAAGTATTATTATAAATAAAAAGATATAGAAATTATTAAATTTAATAGAATAAATTATTATCATTTTCATCAAATGCAGATTCTTCAAGTATTGGTATCAAATACTTTTGTTTAAAATATAAATAAAAATATTAAAAATTTTTATTTATATTTAATTAAATATTACTTTGTGAAACTAATAATTTCTAAATATATTCTAAAGAAATATTAAATATTATTTCTTGTCTTTTAACTATTAAATATTTTGATATTAATTCAATTCATCTAATTTAAAAAGCTAAATGTATTTATCTAAACCATTTTTAAATTCGTCATATCCTAATTTAAGTTTATCTTTCTAATGTTATTGGATTATATCAAATTAATGTTTTTTTTTTGAATATAATTCAAAGCCTTTATTGAAAGTTTTTTCATTATCTTTATAGAGTATTTATTATTATTATCACCATTTATGATTTTTATTAACTCTTATTCAAATTCATCAACTATAATCACCATTTTACTTATCTATTTAATATTCTTTTAACTTTTATTTAAGTATTCTTTAAAAATTTTTCGAAGATTTTATTTTAATTCTAAATTATCTTATGTGTGTTCTAATGTCATATATATTATTGTTGCTATATTTGCTTTTTTTAATTTTTATTATACCTATTATTAATTAATATTTTAATTTTATTTAATATCTGTTTATTAATTATTATTAATTAAAATTTAAATCAAACTCTATTCCTTATATTTATCATATTTATGCAAATTAGATTAAATTAAAATATCAAATTCAAAAGGAAGTGGCTATAAAATATTATCTTAATTATCATATACAGTTTAAGCTTTAAATTTACTCAATTATTAATTATTTTTAAATAAAATTTAGTTTACTGTATTTTAATATGTATTTGAATAAAAGCTTGAATTATAACTAATTTATACTAAGTTTTAATCTATATATTGATTTTAATTGGCTTTTTAATTTTTCTAACTTTTATTTTTTTTAAATTAAATTAAAAGTTCATATTTAAATATCTTTATATTTAACCACTATAAGTAATATTAGATTCTAAAATATTTAAAATATTTAAAATTTTTATTGTTTAAATTAAATGATCGCTAATAATTTATTTATCATTTAAAAAACGAAAGTTTTTAAGTAAAAAATGAAAAACCCAATTAGTCTTGTATTATTAATAATTAAAATTATTATTATTATATACTATATAGGCTAAAAATATATTATGAATATATTTTATTATTTATTAATTTGTTTTAAGATTATTATAACCTAAATCAATTCTATAAAGAATTACTTAAAGCATAGATTAGAAAGTATTCATTATATTTTTTGTATAAATTGTAATAGTTTATTCATCAATAAAATCAAATAAGCTTTCAATTTATTCATGATCTGGTAGATAACTTTTATTAGAATTAATTAGAATAATATCTAATATTGTTTAGGAATGTTTATATATATCATCTTCCTATTAAATTATATCAAGTAATTATTAATCATTAGGAATATTATTATTAATTTGACTCTAACTTATAACGTTGTTTGACATAATATTTTAAGTAAAAATATCGTTTTTATTATTGTATTTAGAAAAAGATTAAAACAGTTTACAAGATATATCATATATTTTAAAATTTTTTATATCTTAAAAAAAGAGGCAATATATATCATTTCTTGAAATTCTAAAAAGAGGATATCTATCTAAAATTAAATACTTATAAAAAGGTATAAAACTATTGAATAAATTAACAAAATGCAATGACTTTTTATAAATTTCTAGAGCTACCTAATCTACATTATCTTAGTTATTAATAATATTTTGATTTGCATTTTATATTTTTTTTTTTTTAATTCTATATTTACATTTTCTTTATATTAATTTTAAAAATCTTCTTTATCATTATAATATGAATTTTCTAGTTTAGTTTTTTTATTTATAATAATATATCTATCTAATATTAATTTAACAAATGCTTCATTAATACCTATTTTTTAGTTTAACATTATTATATTTTTATCATTTCTTCCTTTTATCAATTCCACATATAATTTTAGTACCTCTATTAAATAATCTATATAATTTTTAATGTTATTATTTTCTTGCTTTTAACTATAATTTTCTAAATTAAAAAAATCTAAATAAAATTCGTTCTATTATAAATTTAACATATAGAAACTATTATGTTATTTTACTAATAAATTATTATTATATTCTAATATAAATTATTTATTATCTGTTATAAAGGTTTCTATATTTTATTTTTCTACATTAAATATAACTATAGGTATATTATCTATTTCTTTAAATCTAATTAAACAGTTTAAAAACTTTTACCCTTTATTCTCATCTATTAATTATTTTTTACAATATCTTTAACACTATGGTATTGAATTCATTTCTTTATCTTAAATAATATACTATAACATCTATAGTACAAACTTTTAAAATTCAATATTTCGAGAAGTTACTTATTCTAGCTTTCCTATCCAAAATTTTATTATTGTTTCTTCGTTTTATATATTTATTTCATTTTCCATCCATCTTACACAACTTATAAGAACACTTTTTACTTTATCTTATTCTTCATAATATAACTATTAAATTAAAAAGGTTAAATAACTTTGCTTTTATTCAATTATATATGAACTTATTTCACTGTTTTCATATATTAGAGTTTATATAATTTAGTATATTTAATTTATTAGTTCCTATAACTTTTCTTTAGCTAACTTTGAAGCTTATGTTGCATATCTTATTTCTCCAGATAATTATTTTTCTTAATTTCCATAAATTTTGAAATGTATTTATTTTAATATTGCAAATAATAAATCTATAATATTAGATTTTATAAAAAGTTTCTTATTGTTTTAAATAATTTCTTTGTAATTCTTTATGAAGTCTTGTAATTATACTAATTCTATTTTAAGTTATTCAGATTTATTTTATAAGGTTTTAAGAATATTGTTAGTATCTTTATCTTTATAAGTTATTTTTGATTTTTCATTTACATTTCCCCAATCTTAAAGAAATAAATAAAAATTTAATAATCTTTTATTCACATAATAAGCATTTTAAGCAAAAATACTAAATAAAAAAAAATATATATATTAATAAAAAAAAGTATATAATAATTGTATTTACATTTAAATTTTTTGTACTTATTATATTAAAAATAATGAGGTATTATTTTCATTTTAATTTTCTATTTTTGAAAGACTAATTCTATTCTTTAATTTATTTTATTTTTAATAAGGAATATTACTATTATCTTATATACTAACTACCATAGTTTTATTTAAATATAAACTATAAGTACAAATCGAAATAACCTATTCATATTTTATTTTTTAATCATTTTAAGTGCAATTTTAAAAAACAAATTCATATTATTCTTATTTTTCACCTCCATAAGATAATCCTAAATTATTATTTTAATCTCTATAAAGATAAAGCCCAGTAGAAATATTTCTTATTAAATATGCTTTTGAATAATATAAATTCTAACTATTATTAGGAATAACTTCTTATAATTCCCAAAAGGTATGAAGTAAAAATTCGCTTTTTATTTTTTTATTTTAATTTTCTTCAGAAATGTTTTTTTATTATTTTTATTAAATATTAAAATTAAAAGCTTTACAAATATATAATTCATATTAATTTAAAAAATTTTAAGACATTTAATTATCATTTGTATTAATATATTCTTATTAGTATTTTTAGTTAATTGATTCAAAATTCACATCTCTAGTTTAAATCAGTTATTCAAAATTAAGCTTTGAATATACTCCTAAATACCCATTTAAGTTTTTACAAAATAAGGTAACAATATCACAAGGTTTTACATAAGAATAATTAAACAATGAAGTTAACTAAAAAAAAATATATTAATTTAAATAGTTTTACCATAAAATTATATATTTTTTTAAAATGAATTAAAATTTTATTTAATATTATATAAATTATTTTTAATTATAATAATTAATAAAAAATTTATATGTTAAATAATAATTTATAAACTATGTCTTTTATATATTATTTACCTTAATTTCATCTATATCCTAATACACCCTTATTTTCATAACAGAATTTTCTGATGATTAAGATATATTTACTTCTAATCCTTCCAATAGTTATTATTAGTTACCGTTTTACACATGTATTTTATATTCATCTTTTTTTGACTGAATAATTATTTAATCAGAACTATTTATTTTCCTTTAATCATCATTTTATTAAATATTAGGTTTCATAATTAAATTAGAATAATCATTAGGATTATTACTCAAATAAATCTTTAATTTAATATAAAAATAAATAAATAATTTTATAAAGTTAATATTTAACTCTTCTGCTTCCATTTTCAACTACTAAATTATCAGGATCAAATTTTATTATTTTTCCACTATAAATATGTTTTAACTAAAATACTTATCCATAACAAATTTCTTGACCTAATTTATTTTTTCTTCTAAATAGTTCTCTTCGAATTCTCTTTTATAATTTTATTCGAAATTTGATAACTAAGATTCATTTTAAAAACCTATTAAATTTTATTTTTTAAGAAAATCTATATAGGCTTAAGTTGCTATATATTTTTTTTCAGGTATAATTTGAAATAAACATTTTCTAAATTACTAGAATGCATTCTTCCCTTAAATATAATATTTTTATAAATTTATTTATTATTAGTGTTTTAGAGAGTCTATTTAAGAGTATTTATAAAGATTCTAACTTTAATTATCTATATTTTTAGAATAAAAAGAAATATTAGATTTAAACTTATTTAACTTTAAATTTTCATATTAATCTAAATCATTAATAATTTAGGATTAACATTCAATATTATTCGAAATATTACCATCAGCTATATTTATTATATAATTAAAAAAAAATAAAAAAATATAAAATTCTGTAAATAAAATAAATTATATATATTTATATTAATCATACATAAAAATATTAAATAAATATAATTTTATATTTATTATGTATTATTTATTTTATAATTATGTTTATATATTTAATTTTATATGAACCTATTAAAACTCCTTTATATCTTTTTTATACAAAATGCTTCAAATATACAATATCTCCATATTTTAAATTCCTAATTTTTTATTTTTATTATTACATTTTTTATTAATTAAGATTTTAATCATTATCATTCCCTTATTGGGATTTCTAATTTTCTAAAATAGCCTCAGAAATAATATTTTTTTCAATCTAACCATTTAAATCACTTAAATATTAATTCTAGGATATATTATCAACATTATCCAAAAAGATTTAAATACATCTTCTTCTTTTAATATTATTAATTATATTCAAAAATAACTAAGTCGTATCTTCAATATATTCAAACATTTTTTATATAGATATTTTTATTAAAAATTAAAAAATATTTATTAAATAAAATAGAAAAATATTTATTTATTTACATTTAAATTATTTTTAAGTTTTTTATATTTAATTAATTATTTATCTTATTTTTTAATGGCTTTAGATAAGTTAAAATATTTAAAAATTAAGAACAAGAAGTATACAGTTATAGATAAATTTATGTATTGTGAATCTTAAGTATTAGGTGAAGGTGCTTTTGGATGTGTATACAAAGGAATGTATGTTCCAATTAAACAAAAAGAATTAATTGAATAATATATTGCAATAAAACTTATGAATTTAAATATAAATGTAGGTATTTAGAAAATAGAGAAAATAGAAAAAGATGATGATTTTGAATCTATAAAAGCCGAAATATAAACTTTATAAAAATTAAATCATCCTAATATTGTATCATTAATTGATGTAAAGAAATATAAAAATACAATTTATATGATAATGGAATTTTGTTAACATGGTGATTTGTATGATTTTTTAGGAAGAAAAGGACAATAATTAAATAAGAAAGATCTTACAGAAATTGAAATTCGTTATTATTTTTCTTAAATATTAGAAGCATTTAAATATTTAAGAAAAAATAACCTTATACACAGAGATGTTAAACCTCAAAATATATTAGTCAACAATAATGTTTTGAAAGTAGCAGATTTTGGATTTGCAAAGGAAGTAAAAGAAAAAGAAATTGAAAAAAGCTATAAAGGTACTCTTACTACACTTTCTCCTTAAGTTTTGTAAGGAAATTATACTCATAAATGTGATATTTATTCACTAGGATGTACACTTTATTGGATTATGTATAATGATTATCCATATATGTAATACATGAAGAATTAAGTTCAATTAGTGGAAATTTAAAAAAAAAATCCTGTTAAATGTCCTGATAAACCTAACTATAGTGAAGACTTAAAAAAAATCTGTGAAAGAATGTTAATTTATAAAGAAGAAGATAGGATTTCATGGGAAGAATTATTTGAGTCTAGTTTATTTAATTAAAGACTTATATTAGAAACAGGAAAAATTAACATTTTAAACGTTATAAATTATGATAACATTAAAGAAAAAGAAGTAAAAGATATGTGGACAGGATTAAACATAATAGAATATGATGAGAAACAATTAGACGAAGCTTAAAATTAAGCAGAAGAATATATTTAAAAAATCGAAGAAAAACAAAAAATTTCAGAAGTTTTTTATATGCTTTTAAAAAGAATCGAATTCGAAAAAGGAAAGGCCTCCTTTTTAAGAAAAGTTCTTGAAAGAATTAATGATTATTCAGTTAATGGAAAGGTTATATTATTAAAAAATATGCATTAGATTAAAGATTTACTAAAAATTGTTTAATATGGTTTAATTAAGTAAGAATTAGTACTTCTTCATGGACTAACAGAAAAATTATAATAAAAAGAAAAATAATTTGAATTTACAGATTAAGAATGGTTGTATTTTCTTAAGGATTAAGAATAAGCTAAACTTATAATAGCAGCATTAAATAAAGATATTTCTGTAATTACAAGTCTATTCTTTTAAGATATACATAAAAATGTTTAGATTCTAAAAAATATAGAACTAAATTAGAGCATTACGGCTATACTTACTGATGTTTTCTGGAATAAAGATTTTTCTATTAATTATGAGTTTATGATTTAGTTTTTCAAAGTGATTAAACTTCTGATATTTTTACTATATCCTGAAATACAAAGATATGAAAATCATAATAATGCTTCTGAAAGAGTAAGAGATACTCTTTTTTTAATAGATGATTTGTTTATTGTTTTAAATCTTAATAATATTTTTATTTGGGATACAAATAACATAATTAACTTTAATTAGTTTTTCTAAAAAAGGTTAAGAGATTATAATGAAGAAAGTATTTTCAAAATAATTTAATAAAGAATAAAAATTAGTTATTAAACATTTATAAAAGAGTGAAAAAAATTAAATAAAGGGAAATAAAAAATAAATGTACTTTTTTTTTTTAAATTTCGGTTTTATTTTTATTTTTCTTATAAGTTAAATTTAATTTAATGCTAATTTAAATAAAAAATTATTTATTATAATGCAGTATTTTTAAATTTATTTTTATTAATTTTAACTGATAAGTATTTATTTTAATAATTTATAGTATTATTACAAAAATATTTAACATATTTATAGTAATTCATGTTATTTATCAATATACTTTTAATATACTTTATTCTTTAAAAACAAAAAATTAAAAAAAATAATAATTTTCTTGCATATTTTTTATTAAATTTTATATTTATAGTCAAAATTTATTTATATTTATTAGATATTTATTTTCAAAAATTAATATAATTATTAAAATTTAAATTATGTACGATTTTAAAGCAGATAGAAATAACAAAAGTCTTCCTTCTAACTGTAGAATTGATTTAAATCCATAATAATCTAAACATTATTTTGATTAAGTTGTATTTGACAGTTAATTTGATTCAGGAAATTTAGAAAAAGTATAAAAAGTTTCAAATAATTAAGTAATAATATAAAAATTATTTCCTTTTGATTTATATTTAATTTTTTAAAAAAGTTCGATTTATGGATATCAAATGATTGCAAAAATACTTAAAAAGCCACTAATTATAGAACATGGTTTTATTTTTCAGTAGTTGGATTTTTAGCTGATAATAATTTAATATAATTTACTATTAAAAATATGAATTTTTAAGTAAATGAATTTTTAAATTTTCGATGAAATAATTTTATTTTATTTTAAAAGAATAAATTATTTAGAGAAGGGATGGCACCAACATATAAAAGTTCTTTAAATAATATATGGGAAAGAGTAAAAGGCAATATAAGCTATTAAGTAAAAAAATGTAAAAAAAAAGGTTTGAATAAAATAAATAATAAAAATAAAGGAAAAACCTGATGTAGGACTTGAAGTTTCTTGGTAATATAAATTCGAAATTGAATAAGAAAAAGTTTGGTTTTCATTTACTTATCCCTTTTCTTATGAAGAAAATTAAGTATAAATAATTTTTATTTTTTTCACTCTCTCTTTAAATATAAATAAAAAATTAAGGAAATATTATCTTATTATGAAAATAAATATTAAGATGATTCTTTAATATATTTTAATAGAAGTATATTAAGTCATTCATTAGAAAAAAGAAATATAGAACTAATTACAATAACATCTCATAAAAATAAAGAAATAGAAAATTTTGAAAAATAATCTTTTTTTGTTTCTTAAAATCCTCCTTATATTTTTAAAAAAAAGAAATATATTTTCCTTTCTGCTAGAGTCCATCCAGGTGAAGTACCAGGTTCACATGTCTTAAATGGAATCATAAAATAACTTTTGAATAAAAAAGATTAAAGAAGCTAAATTCTACTTGATAATTTTGTATTTTATATTGTTCCAATGATAAATCCTGATGGAGTTTATAGAGGTTATTATAGAACAGATACTTAAGGTTTAAATTTAAATAGGTTTTATATAAATCCATCTATATAAGTAAATTTAAATAAAAATTTTAAAATAAAAAAAATATAGAATCATCCATCAGTTTATTCAATAAAATAATTAGTAGTAAATTTAAGTGAAACAAAAAGACTCTGTTCTTACATTGATTTGCATGCGCATGCTGGTCAGAAAGGAATATTTATGTATGGAAATTGTGTTGATTTAAAAAATTAAGTTCATACTTGCCTTTTTCCACGCTTAGTAGCAATAAATTCACCTTACTTTGATTATGAAGCTTGTAATTTCACAGAAAAAAATATGTATATTAAAGATAAAGGAGATGGATTATCGAAAGAAGGTGCAGGAAGAGTTGCGCTTTATAAAGTTATTTTTTGTTAATTTATATATTATAAATAAAATAAAAAGGCGACTAAACTAAATCTTTTTTATACTTTAGAATGTAATTACAATACAGGAAATATAATAAATTTATTAGTATAATAATAATATAGATAATAAGATTTAGGCCTATAATAAAATAAAATTTATGATAAAGATATAATTATAAAAAATTTGGATTAAAAAATTTAAAAGAGTTCTGTTTTTTATACTCCTGAAATTTATGAATAGGTAGGTGAAGCATTATGTGATTCTTTTCTTGATTATTACAAATTACATCCTTATTCTAGAATACCAAATACTGTTTATTAAACTTTAGCAGTAAAATAAATCATATAAATTTATATATTTATAAATATATATATATATATATATATATATATATATACATACTTATCAATTTATTATTTAATAGACTTTAAAAATTAAATTGGCTTATAATCTACTAAAATAATAACCTTTTAAATATTGTTCTTATTTACGAAAGTTATAAAGGCATATAGCAGCATAAGGTGAAAATTTAGATAAGGTTTTAAAGTGTTTATGGGTTTATTTAAATACAGGAATTAAAAATAGTTTCGAAGAATCAAAGTATTATCAAAATAACTTAAATTAAAAGCAAATAAGAGAAGATGAAGAAAACTGTTATATTAAATAAAGACCCTAAAGCACTAAAAAAGAAAAAATTTAAAGTTAGTTATTATTAGAAGAATATTAGAATAAATTCGAAGTTTAAGAAAATACAGAATATAGTTTAGAAAGAAAAAAAAATACAGGTAGTAGTCTAAAATAAAATAAAAGAAAATAAAAAACTGAGTTAAATAAAAGAAAAACTATAAAAAGCAACTTTAGAATAAAACAATAGGATAAAAAAAATGAAGGCAATTAAATAAATAATTAAGAAAATATTATTAGAAAGATTAGAAGTATTATAAATACTTAATAATAAATTCCTTTTTAAGATAATAATAGTGTTATTAAATAAAATAGAATTATTATAGATACTTTAGATAAATAAAAGAAATAGAAAGCCAGTGAAAGTATTAAATGGTAAAATACAAAGTATGAAAATAAAAAATAATATTCTAGATTAATTGGGAAAATTAATAAGATTTGAATACTATATTCATTATTATGCATAAATTTATATAGATTTTTTTTTAGATATTAATAAATATTTTTATTATAAAACTATTTTAAATGAAAAAAAGAATATATATATATATATATATAAATATAATATTTATATAAAAATAAATTTGATTGTTATTTTTTATAAAATAATCTATGTTTTGCTTTATTTATTATCAATTTGATTTTCTTTATAAATATTTGTTTAGTATTTTAATTTTTTTCATATTATCTTCTCTAAATGCTTTACTTTATATTAGATAATCGTTTTAAATAATTGGAAATTGGCTATTTTATTTTAGAAATTTCACTTAAATATCTTAAACATTTAAATTAATTTTATTAATTATATTTTTTTAAATATCCTCATTTTTTCTATTATTTTCTAAAATATTTAATTTAATATTTTTCTTAACTGGGAATTTTTTTTTTTCAAATTTAAACATATTTTTATATATTTTCAATTATTTTCCTTAATATTCCTATTATCTTTTGTTAATTATATTTGTAGATTAACTTAAATGATCAAAATTAAAAATTTATTAAGATTATAAGAGTTAATTATTATTACGATTATTTTGATTATTATTACAGATTTGTTTTTATTTTTTTCGTAAAATAAATTGATATTCGGAAGTTTCTTAGAGTTGAAATTATCTGATTGAAGGAATAGATAACTCTTGAGAATATTTAATGTTTTTATAAGAACATAATTAATTTTAATTGTTTTATTTTTCATATTAACTAATGTTTTTGTTCCTTAAAACTTTATCTTTTTCTTTTTAAATTCCAATTATATTTTGTCTTTCTAAAGAGGATGAAAAGTTATTATTATATTTAGGAGGTAAACATATAGAGTTTTTACTATTTTCATATTAATTTCTAATATGTTTTTTTAAAAAGTTATCTCTGATTTATTCAGGTAAAGAATCAAAGGGAAAATTAATAAGACAAAAAGTATCCATTTAAATAAATTTTTTAAAAAAGCTTGATTAAATTAAATTTAATATATTTTTAGCTTTACTGTAAGAATATGCATTTTCAATTCTAAAACGTTCGGTTCTTGCTATTTCATAAGCTAGTTGTTTCCTTAAATTATCTGTATTTTAAAAAGTAGTATTTGGAATTCTTGAATGGGGATTTTTATCAAATATATCCAAAATACTAATAAGAATTGCTCTTCCTGTATTTTAGTAGGTATTTTCAGTAAATAGAATTTTCCCATTATTCACAATTACAGGATTACAATCTTAAATTTCTGATTGTTTATCTAAACAAAACTATTTTTAGTTAATATTTAAAATTAATTCTTTATTAGTTTCATCTTGCAATTCATTTTTATTTATAGAATGGTGAAATCCACATTCCAAAGTATAACTATGTAATATTTTAGTAACTTAGTATAAATAAACTCGTCCACATCCCTCTTTAGTAAGTTCTTCTAATTTATCCTATTTATAATAAAAATATAAAGTTAATTAAAAATAAGATATATATATATATATATATATATATATATATATATAAATAAATAAAAATATATCTTATATATATTTCAATTAATTTTTATTAATATATTTAATTTTATATTTATCATTATTTTATTATTTAATTATATATTTATTTTTTTATTTTATTATATTTTTTTTATTAATATTATATATACATTTATTTTTTACTTTAGCCTTCATTTAAGTTTTTGAAAAATTACAATTATTATATTCAAAATAAGGATCATTTTATGCCATTATTTTGGCAAATACTTAACTTTCTACTTGCTATGAAAAATCTTCAATTGCATTACCAAACACAAACATTCCTTTTTTAGCTGCATGTGAATGTAAATCAATATAAAATGCTAATTTATTTTCTAGATGTAGATAATTAATTAAACTTTTCATTGCAAATATTGATGGTTATTTAATAGGATTAGCAATATTATAATATCTATTTAAGTTTTAATTATATATATCCATTCTATAATGACCATTATAGACTCCGTCAGGATTAAGCATTGGTATAATATAAAAAACGAAATATTTTCTTAATAAAAAAGATCTTATATCATTCTTATTTAATAAAAAGTTTACTATTCCTTCCAAAACATAGCTTGAAGGTGTTTCCCCAGGATGAACTCTTGCTGATATTAATATAATTTATTTTGAGGTCTTAAATTTAGGAGTTCTTTTTTCATTTTTTCTATTAGGAAATAAATCATCATTTAAATAAGATTCTTAAGAATCAGGAATTTTATTATCATGAGATGTTATTGTTAGTAAATAAATAATTCTTTTTTCTGGGGTATATGCAAATATTTCTTTATTTAAATATATTTCATTTGAATCCTGATTTAGTGCATATAAATTATCAATATATTAAATATATCTATCATAGCTATAAGGATAACTAAAACTAAAATAAACACATTCATCTGTACTTATTTATGCAAAGTCATAAGTAAAACTTAGTGTAAGTATGTTTTATTCATTGTTATACTTTATTTTTATTTATAATTTAATTATTTATAAATTATTTATTTACTTATATTTATGGTTAAATTTCTAATCTTCTCTATTATCCTTCTTTACCTATTCTATATACAGGTCTATATGAAGATGTATTATCATTCTTTTAAATTATTAAAATTGATATTTTTATTATTTTTTACTGCCCATAATATATAAAGCATTTTCAATTTGATAATATTAAATTTTATTTAAGATGTAAATCCTTTAACATAAAAATAAAACCAACTTTTAGACCATCCTTCTTCTTATTTGTCTGAGTTATAATCAGATGCTGGATATAATGAATACTTTAAAATACTTTGTATTTTTATTTTAACCCAATTGACATATATATTTTTTTTTTCAAAAAATAATATTTACTTCATCCTATGCGATTTAAATTACATTACCACAGTTTCCTGAATCAAAGTTACTAGAAAATAATATTTTATTATCTTCAAAATAGAAATCTTGATGTTAAGGAATATTCATATAATTATTTTTCTTTTTATTTCTTTATTATTTTATTTATTTTAATTTATTAATCTTATTATTAAATTAATTTTATTTTTATTTATTTATATAAAATTTTATTTTATACAATTATATAAAAAATGTTGTTATATTATTTTTTTATATTTTTAATTTAATAAAAAAGTAAATATTTTTGTTTAGTTATTATAATAATCTTTTTACATAAATGTATTTATTAGTTTTTTAAATAAAAATTACTTTAAATTTATTATATTGTAAAAGTAAATCCTTTTTTAAATTATTAAAATAAAATGGAAATCAAAATTGTATTAATAACTTAAAATTATTTTTTTTAATAAATAAAAAATAATAATAAATTTACTTTATATTGTATATTTTAATTTATTTTATTTATATTAAATATAATATATTTAATTTTTTTTAAATTTTTTATTTTAATTAATTAAACTTTTAAAATATATTACTTTCATTAATATATGTATAACAAAATTTATACTTGATTTTTTTTATATTTTATTAACCGTTAATTATACTTTCTATTTAAAAAATATAATAATAATTAAATAAATATTAATATAAATTAAAAAATTAAATTAAATAATTTAAATAAAAATAAAATGATTATATTTATTATATTATATATTATATTTAATATTTCATATATAAATATAAATATAATATTTAAATAATAAAAGGAATAATTATAATAACTACATTTAAAATATAATATAGAAACCAGAAATAATAAATTCCTATAATTATTAGTTATTTAGTAAAATAAATAAATCTAAAATAAATAAGATTCTTTACAAATATAAAATAAATAAGAATCCCTAAACACATACCCATAATAAGTAAGTTTTTATAGGAAGTGGAAATAATGAAAACTTAATTAAATAATATTATAGAATAACTATAAAAAATATTAATTTGTAATTATTATATATTTTTATTAGAATTTGAATGGGTTTAAACTTAAATAAGAAATAGAATAATAAAAATCAAAAAAACAAAAAATTATAAAAAATAATTTTTAAAACAAATAAAATAAAGTTAAATCACATATAAAATATAAATGTAAAATAATATACAAATCCCAATTAGTTTTAATAGAAATTTGAACACAAAAATAAGGGGTTTTTAATTTATTCAAGTTGATTTCTATTAAAATCATATAGATTAGATGCTAATAAAGAAAGTTATTTAAACAAAGTGCATATTTTTTGAATAAAAGAAGTATATAGGGAGTTTTGATTAATAAACTAACAAATTTTAATTGTAGAATAGGAATATATATTATATCTGATATTAAATAATTCATAGAAGAGTTTTATATGAATAAAAAAATTAAATACCAGGATATAATAACGGTTTTTTTATGCGTCTATAATATACAATATATCGTGAATCCACTTTCTTATGGATAAAAGAAATTTTTTATGTAAGATATTATTTACTTATTACTAGTACTTTACCTTTTATTGTTTTATTTTTTTATATAATCCTAGTTATTTAAGGGTTTCAATTAATGTAATATGAAAAAATGTATATAATTATTTATAAGTAAATATATATAGTGCTGGTGATATATACTCATCCTTTAGAAATACTGCAATTTTGAAAAAAAGAAGATCCTGAGTTTTAAAAGTAAAAAGAAAGAAAATAAAATTTGAGCTTAATAAACGAAATTTTATAAAACAATATAAAATTAAGAAATATTTATAATATTAATCCAGTTGAAATTTTTAAAAAAATTAAATAAATACTCTCTTATGTTATAATAGGTACCGTAAAAAAAGGTATTATAAAAAAAAATGCATTATAAAAAAAGGTATTATTATAATATCTTCTAATATTTATTTTTTAGAAACTAATTTAAATTCATCACTTTTTAAAGGTTTTTTTATAAATTAATGTTTTTCTTAATTTATTTTTTAAGACAATTTTATCCAAAAATAAGTAAATCCTCTAAAGTTTTATATATAAAATATATCATAAGATAATATAGATTTATTAATAATAAATATTAAAAAAATTAAATTTTCGAAACTTTTGATAAAGGAATAATATATAGCAAGCAATATTTATATATAACTAAAAAAACATTGAAAATTTCAATATATTTAATTTTTGTTTTTTTAAATAAATAAATAAATAATACTAATAATAAAAAAAAGTTTAAAGAAAAAATAATTTTTTCATTAAAAATACTTAAAAATAATATTTTTAATTAAAACATCTCTATCTTAAGTAGTAAAATCATTAGAATTTACTACATCATATTTAACCCGTTTCTATAAAAATTTAATTTTAAATTAACTTCGATAAGAATATGTATTTTTTTCATTCAAAAACTGATGTGTAGGCCCATTAATATCTAAATGAAGAGTAGTATTTTCATTTTGAATTAAAAAATCTATTTCATAATTAAATATATAATGCTTAATTGGGAAAACTTTAATATTTTTTTCTGAAAAATATTCATTTATGTGATATTGTAATGATATATACACTTCTTCCTCTAATCTAGACATATATTTTAATTATAATGGTGCTTATATTTATTTAAGAAAATTTTTTTTGATGTTTTCATAAAGTTATTTTAAATGAAAGTTATTTAAAATACATTATTAAAGAGATATCTTACCTTATTAAACTAAAATTTCGGTGTTTTTATAAAATATAAAATAAGGGGAAAACATAATATCTTTTTAAGAAAATAAAAGTTAAGTAAATTCATGAAAACAATTATCTGGTAAGTATATTAGATAAGTAAGAATTTAGTCATAATTTAATTAAAAAGGACAATCGATTAATATAGAAATAGCCTTTTTTTCAAATGTATTTATTAATTAATCATTCTAAGAATACAAAGATGAAATCGAAATGAATTAAAGTAACGAAATAAACTTAGAAGACGTATCAATATTTATTTCGTTTAGTTTTTCAATTAAAATATTTTATAATAGTACTAAAGGAATGTAGTAAAGGTTCAAATCAAATAAGTTATTACAAAAATATATCTCTTTTTAAATATCAAAGTTTTTTTAGTCTAATTTTGTGTTTATATATTTAGTAATATTTATTAAAATTTCAGGCCTTTGTAATTTGTAGAATTTTATTAGATTAGTATACATATAAATATTTTTTATTTCATAGTTTTTTAAATAATCCAATAATTTATAATACTCTTCATTATTTTATTATTATATTTCATTCAAAATTCTTATTTTTAAACAAAAAAAATATATATAAATAGTTATTAATATTTTTACGTTGATATTCTGTTTTTGGGTAGATTTGATTAGTTTACGAAAAATGCTATTTTTCTATCTAAACGAATAAATTAGGAAAAGTTTTAAGCAAATTCTTTATTTATTTCTTTATTACCATAATAATTCAGTAATTTTGGAAGTTATTAAAGATTTAATTCTGTTAATTAAACTACTAGATCAAGCAAAAACGGGTCTTAATACATATTTTTGGAAATATTTATATTTTTATCATAAAAGTTAATAATTTTTATAAGTTAAGTTTCATTAAATTTAATTAAATTTTTTTAAATAATAGTTTATAAATTTTAAAATTATTAAGGAAATTCAAATTTTTGAAAATTCTCGAATATTTTTAAGGAATAAACAATTTATTATAAATAAGTTTTATCATTTAAATTTTCAGAATAAATTTAAAAAAAAACTTTTATTAAGTCCTTGTTTGTGCTTTTGAATATTAATGAGTCTATACTTATTAACTCATCTAAAGTTGAATTTTTTAATTTTTGTAAAATTTATATTGTTATTTTATCTTTATATATATATTCTAATTATACTAAGGATTTAATTGGAATTTTATTTATATTTACTTTTATTATTTTTTCATAAAAAAATTAGGTTTTTTATTCATCTATTTATATTATATTAATTATTGTTTATATATAATCATCTGAATATTTTAATAAAAGAACATCAGATTAATTAATTAATTATTCTTCAAGCTATTTTAGTTATTGGAATATCTATGTGTCTTAAATAGGGCCTTTTTATTTTAATATATATATTTATTAAGTTAAGTTATTAAAATATTGAATTTAAGAATAATTTATGCCATCTTTTTATTGAATTTATTTAATATAGGAGTTAAATTATTCAATTTGTTGGTTTATATTTAAAAAATTTGTCTCAGATTAAAGGCTATAATTTAGGTTTGTATTTGATTTGATATTTTATAATGACAATTGTCTTCTTGGTTTAAGTTTTAAAAACTATTGAGTAAAGTTTTTTAGAAATTGCATTTTTATAAGTATAATTTTAAAGATTTTTTTTTTCTTAAAAAAAAAAAAAAAAAGTAATAAAGGTTAAATTTAAATATATATCCAAAAATATTAATTTCTAAATATTATATATTTTTTTTATAAAAATAAATGATAATTTACAATTTTTAAGAATATTTTTATTTTAGTAAAAAAATAATAAAATGTTTTTTTATATATAAACTAAATTAGAAATTATATATTGAAGATATAAATTTGTAAATTATCTACTCTTAATTAAATAAAATAATTTTTATATATTTTTAAAAATAAGAAATTCCCCCACATTAAATATTTTAAACAACTATTTTCTAGCATTTTAATTAATTTAATATTTTTAAATCAGTTATAGACTTGAACATTATTAGGAAGATCCCAAGGCCCATAAAAAGTTCTTTTTTTTAATTGTTATACTTATTAATTTTTTTTTTTTTGATTATTTACCTTTTGTATTAAAATAACCATATCAACCATAATGGGCATATAAATGTTATTGATATTAATCTTTTTTTTTTTTTAATATAATATAGTAAATTAGTAAAATCTATATAAAAACATGAATATATGTAAAAATGCAATTGTTTTAGAAAAGCTAAAGAGAATTAAAAAAATAACAATGGAAATAAATATTAAACAATATTTAAAAAAATTTTATGAATAATCCTATTATTTTTTTAAATATTTTACAAATGAAAATATTTTTAATAACTTTAATAGATCTTTTGAAAAATTGTGCAAATATAAATAATCTTTATTAATTTTTAAACTAAAAATAAATTAATGAAATATAGTTATATTTACATTAAAGAACTTAGTAAGAGAGTAAATACTTACAAATCTCTGTGCAATCTAGACCCAAGAAGTGCAGAAAATCCATAGGCAGCTAATGTAGATGAGTCGCAATTCCAACTATGAGGTCTAAAGTATATTAGTAAGGTTTAATATATAAAAATTATACAATAAATGAATTATATTTTCTTTACTAACAAATGTTTTCATAATTATAGTTTTTAAAAATTAAATGATACAAAATTAATCCTTTTTTTATTATTTTTTTTGTTAATGTTTATTTAAAAAAATTTATTATATTTTACCAGTTGATAATGCATATGTTGTATTATCTGCATATGTTTCGTTAACAGTTTTCATAATAGGTGATAATACAAACAAAGTAGAAATCAAAATAATAAATCTTTTAAAATTCTTATAAATAGTTTAAGTTTTAATGATTATTTTAGATAATACAATATAAACAAAAGTACAAATCATACATAGTATGGTTATTATTGAAATTAAAACGCCTTCTACTAATTTTTAAGAATACATACTATAAAATATTATCAAAAAAAGCATGACTAAGTTAACTGACCAAGACAAATCAAATGTCTTAATAACAATTTCTTGCAATTATAAATTACTTCTGTTATCTTAGATAATATATTATTTTTTATTTAAATATTTATTGTATACTCTCTTGTATTAAAGAACTTAAAAATGTATTATCAAAATAGTTATCTTCTATACCATATTATTATTTATATAATATTTTTTTCCATTATTTTTTTGAGGCTTTTTATGGGGAATCTGAATGTTACTTATTTTATTTTAAATAAAATATTAAATCCATATATTTTTTTACACTTATACTATCTCTTAATCTTTTACATATAAAACATTAAGTATCTGATTAAGCAAATTTATAACCATCATAAGGACAATACTTAAAAGTATGTATATTTTATTCACTTTGCATATATTATTTGTTTATATTGCTTTTTGTTTTATTTTTTTTTCCTGTAATTTTATTAAATAGTTAATTAGAAAAAAAAAAAAAAAAAAAAAAAAAGAAGAGAAAAAATGGGTAATAATGTTATTTTGTATTTATTGAGTTTTTTATTTTTTTTAACAAAAAAAACAAAAGATAGAATAAATAAAAAACATTATTTATATTTTATATTATATTTATTTCCTTTTAATAATTTAATATTATATTTTCTTAAAAACTTATTATTATATAAGATTTTTTTATTTTATTTAAATAAAATTAATTTTTATTCATATATTTAATTATATATAAATAAATGATATTTTGTTGTTGTTAAAATATAATTTAATAATCAATGAAATATATCTCATTTGCGAAACTGAATTTCTCAAAACAATTAATTTAATAGTACATTAGCATATTAATCATATTAATTTTAATATTTTTAAGAAAATTATTTTTATTTATATATTATTGAAACAATTTAAAATAAAAATAAGTATTTTATGTTTTAAATTATTTTTATACAAAAATTTATTTTTTATATATAAAAATTATTTATTTTCATATTATAAAAAAATGACTGAAAAAACACTTTTAGTTGATAATCCGTTTTCCTTAGAAAATAATCGAAAGAAAGTTTCTTATTTAATTTAGAAACAAAAAATATATTTTTTTTAATTATAAAAAAATGGATAAAACAGCTTATTTAACAATTAGAAATATAAGAAAAAAAAGTTACATTTAAAAACGATTAAACAATTTATATAAAAAAAAAAAATTAAGGATAAAACATCAGACATGACTATAGAAGAAAGACTTTACTCGAAAACAAAAATATCTAAAAAATTTGGTATTATAAGAGCTTTAGATGAAGAAGGTATTAATAAAATAATAAATATAAATAAAAAAAATATAAAAAAGCCGAAAAAATGGCAAAAGCTAGAGAAGAAACATTAGCAAGGGATTAAAAAAGAGAAGAAGAATAAAAAAAGCATAAGAAGATACCAATATGGTGTGTATTTTTTTTTTAAGTTTTTTAATTTTTCTAAAATATAAGGAGTTCAACTGATAGTGATTTAAATAAGTAAATGAGTAGAATAAATAATCTTTTAAAAGAAAAAAGAGAAACAATAGCAGAATTTGTTTAAAAAAAAAGAGAAATATATTTGTCAAATATGAATATAAATAATAAAAAAGAAGAAACAAATAAATTAGAAGACTATATTAAGAACGAAAAAGAATCATTAAAAGCACGAAAATATGTAATATATATATATAATAATATATATAATAATAGATATATATATATATATATATATATATATATATATATATATATATATTATTAAAGTATTTTGAAAACGACTGGACTATGGTTAACAAATTTATAAAAGAAGTTGAAAATGAAGCTAACGAAGCATAAAAAGTATTAAAACAAAAATATTACATAAAATTTAAATTATTAAAATTAGGAAGCAGAAAAATAATAAAAAGAAAGAGAAAAAAACAAAGAAAAAATCAATTAATTTATTGCTGAAGTAGAAAGATGTGAATAAAAAATTAGTAGAAAATAAGAAGAATATTAAACTCTATTAACTTATAAATAATTTATTGATGGAATAATTGTATATAAAAAATAATTATTTTATATTTATTTCATTTTAAAATTATAAGGAAAAATATTAAGAAATATATGTTAATAGTAATTAATAACAATAAGAATAATATGAAGAGAAAAAAGATAACATTTATTTGACATAAAATGAGAATAATTCATGTAATAATATTTAGTAAACTCCTTAAGTAAAGAAAATACCTTTAAATCCTTCTTAGTTAAATGATATTTTAAATCATATTTAAGAAAAAAATTTATATTATTGTCAAAATAATAATGAAAATGAAGAAGATTATGAATAAAAAAAGCATTAAAATTATAATAAGAAGCTAAACTATTAAAAAATAAAAAAGAACATAAGGAAAGATTAAATGAACTTGAAAAACAAAAAGAAATAGAATTAAGAAGAAAACAATATTTGGAAAATTAGAAGAAATCAAACATAAGTAAGATATAGATTTCAGAAGGAGAAGACCTTGATATGGAAAAAATAAGCAAAAAAATATATTAAATTATAAAAGCTTTAGAAGAATATGATGCAAAGCCTAATAAAAATGAAAGAGAATAAACAGGAGTTACTAATGATTTATTTAATGCTTTATGTAGTCCTAATATAGATTCAAAAGAATTAAAAAATAGATGCATGTATATTTTAATTATTATTTATTATTTATTTTTATTTTATCATTTAGTATATAGAAAATAAATTAGAATAATTAACCAATTTTAGAGCAACTTACGATGAACCAGGAAGTGAGAAATAGAAATTATTACTTAATATTGAGAAATAGATAAAAAAAGAAAAAAGCAATAATAAATAAATAGAAGCTTAGAAGAAAAAACTTAAGATTTAAATTTAAGAATAAAAGAAAGAGAAATAAATCTAAAAAATAGAAGAAAAGGAAGATAAATTATGAGCAGGTCTATCATTTAGAAATAATAAAAAATTAAAATTGACACAAATTAAGATGATTAAGATGATGATGATAAATATTTAAGAGAAGAATTCGATTTTGTAGATGATGTATTAAAATAAGAAAAAAAATAATAAGAAAATAATACTAAAAAAAAAATAATAAAAATTGAAATATATTAAAATAAAAATTATATAAATATATATATAAATATATATATATATATTTATATATATATATATTTTATTTATTTATAAAATTTCCAAATATTTATATTTAAATTTTTGAATTTTTTTATTAGCAATAAAAACAAAAAATATGTATTTTAATTTTGAAGATTTAAGGAATCAAAAAAAGTATTTTTTTCAATAATAAATTCGTAATTCTAAAAATAAAGAAGATATATAATTGAAAAGAACTAAATTAGAAATAATTACATTAACAAACCTTGAAAAAACTTAAATATTTTATTAATTAATATAGGATACATTATACCATTTATAAATTTAAAACTATTAAAAATTTCATAAAAGATTGGTAACAATAAGAGACATATTAATAGATACTTAAGATGAATAAGAAGAGGAAAATCTTAGAGTTTAATTAATAAATAATACTTAATTTGTTCTTTAATTGTTTAATACTTTGAATTCAGGAAATAAAATAGAAAAGGAAGTTCAAAAAGAAATTTGCTGGATATTAATTTTGATAAGTTATGGCAATAGAAAAAATGAATGCTTAATTATGTGCTAAATAGGAGCTAATTTATTGCCTAATATATTAAAACTTTGCCAAGAAAATGAAATTTTAGAAATGATATTATAGCTTTTAGGAAATTTAATTGTTGATGGAAATGATGAATGTGGAAACTTAATTTTTTAACATGATAATTTCCTTATTATGAATCTTTTAGAAATCTATTAAAATTTAATTTGTTAATAAACAAAAAGCTAAGGATTTAGAAGTTTAATAAAATAATATGTTGAAGTTTTAAGTTATATACTAAAAAGAAAAAGTGAAATATAAAATATAGAAATGATAATAAAAGTTTTAAATGAATTATTTTTTGTTGATTTAGAAGAAATAAAATGTATTATATTGGAAAGTTATTGCTTTTTAGTAAAAAAAGAATAGATTTAGTCAAATTAATTAGCCTTAATATAAAATAAATGCTTATTATTATTTTTTTTCAATGTTTTTCATCTTAAAATTAAGTAGTTTGGAATTGTTTAGAATTATTAGAAAAACTTGTGGAAGAAAATGAAGTCGAATTCTTAAAAGATGAAGGAAATTGGAAATTATTTTTAAGTTGTTTAAAAAATGGATAACAAAATAAACTAAAAAACAAATGTATTTTGATTATTAAAAAGGCTTTGGAAAAATAAGATGGAGAATTTATATTTTAAAAGGCTTTTTAAAGTGATAGTGATTTTTTTTTTATTCTTCTTTAAAATTTAATAGAAAATTTTAAAGAAAATACACTTGAAGTTATGGTTTTAGGATTTTCATTTAAAAATTTAAAGATTTTAGAAAGAATTGACTGGAAGATTTTCTTGCTTTATTTTATAAAAATTAGTAAATTTTCGAAAAATTTTAAGATTTAAAAAATTGCTCTATATGGAATTAAGTTTATATTGGAAATGTGGAAGGATTCTAAATTAGAACAGGAAGTTATTGACTTCTTTTAAGATTCGAAAAAATAATTTTAAGATTAATTGGATGGAGAAATCGTAGGTATATTTAAGTATTTATAAGATTTAGTTATCTAATGAAAAAGAATACTTTAGGTTTATCTTATTTTTTAGAATTTGTTTTTATTTATTTATTAACATTTAAATTTTATATATAAATACTTATATATATATATATATATATATATATATATATATATATATATATATATATATATATATATATATATATATATTTTTCTAACAAAAAAAATAATAATAATAATTATATATTAATTATTTTACAAAATTAATACAATTATACAAAAAATGTCTTATGGAATTTTTAATTATGAAAATGATGAAATGTTTTTTATATTTTTCATTAAAAATTTTAAAAATTAATAGAGGCACTTGTATGATGCTTGTATATGATTTAGATGAAAACCAAAATAATGTATAAAAAAGCATGACGAAACCACAAAATACAGAATGTAAAATTGAAACAGATATTTTTTAAAAGAATTCAGAAGTAAGAAAAAAATTGAATAAATTATAAAATAAATTAGGAGTTTTCAAATAAAAAGCAAAGACCTATAAGTAGTTTTTAGACGAAAAAAATGAGTGAAAGTACAGGAAAAAAATCTGATTAAAACTATTATACATAAATAAATACATAGAATAAATTTGCATAAGTAGCGCAGAATACACAAAATACTTCTTCTATGGTAAATTAAATGTAATCTACAGTTTATAGTAACAGTGGAAAATAAACTAAAATGATGGAAAAAAAATTATAATATAATAATTAATAATAATAATAATAATTATAATAATAATAATTGTAATAATAATAATAATAGTATTCTTAAGATAGTTAATATTAAAATTTTGTTTAAATGATGAAAAACATAGATTAAGAAAAAGCTTAGTTATTTTTTACTCAATATTAATAATAATTATAAAATTAATAAGGAAATAATTAATATTGAATATTAAATATACATATAAAATATGTATTTATAATTTTTAAAAATTATGATTAATAAAAATAAAATAAAAAAATATTTTAAATTAAAAAAAATAAATATAAGTAAAAATTAAAATTTAAAATTATCCTTAATTTTATTATTTCAAAAATTTAATTTTAATAGACATTAAGATTTTAATATATGTTTATTTTTGCCAAAATTATTGAATATATCATCTAACTAAACGAAAGTACAAGATTAGTTTTCGTTTTATTGTTTAACTTATGGTTTAGAGATAAAATCATCTTTTGTGAATTTTTAATTCTAATATAAAATATAAATCTATTAAAATAAATAAAAAAAAATATATTTTACTATCCATTAATGTTTTAAAGCTTCTTCAGCACTAATTCTTTTTTAAGGATTTTTCTATAAAAGTTTTTCTAAAAAATTCAAAAAAAGTAAATCTTGTTCAGATTAGCATTTTATTTATTAAATTGGATCTAATTTTAGAATATTTTAAATGGTTTATTTTACATCATTGCTTTTTTATTTTTTATATATATAAAAAAAAGATATTTATAAAAATATTACTTTAAATCTTAAAAAGGTAATCTATTAAAGAATATACCAAACAAATTAACACCAAATGCAAAAATATCAATTTTATGCTAATAAAAATTTCCAGAGAGCATTTCAGGAGCTTTAAAATTAAGAGTACCAGTATTAGTAAATAACTTTTAAATAGTAATTTATTTAGAAACTGTAAAATCGATTATTTTAACTTATTAAGTTGTTTAATTAAACATTATATTATTACTAGATAAATCTCTATGTACTATTCCTAAAGAATGCATATAAGAAAGAGCTTTTAGGATTTACTTAGAAATAGTTTATATTTAAGATTAATTAAATTGATATTTTGAATTTAAATATTCAGTTAATGTTTTACCATTAAAAAATTCAGATACCAAATATGCCCGTTTTTTTTCTTTTTCGAGATAAAAAGAATCATATTTTATAATATTTTTATTATTTAATATTGACATAATACGTTATTCTTATAGAACTTCAAATAAATATTCAGTATCTCTATAATTAATTATTTTAACAGCATATGCTTTTTATAAAAAATCATCTTTTTTGTAACATTTCTTAACAACTGAATGACATCCCTAAATTTATTATTTAAAAAATAAAATAAAATATTAAAAATAATATAATATTAAAATAAGATTTATAAAATAAAATTTTAGTTTTAATAAATTTATTAAATATTTATTTATATATTTTTACTTCTCCAAGTTTTTAACCTAAAGTAAATTAATCTAAAAAAGTTTTTTCTTTATTTATTTTTTATTCTATATTTTATATTTTATCAATTTCTTATTTTGTAAAAGTTATCAATTTTAAAGAATCACATTTAAATGCATTTTAGAAATTTAATCTTCTTTATTACATTATGTTATTATTATTTTTTTTTTATGTTATCACTTCATTATCAGAATCATAATTTAACTCATCTATTTACCTTTTAATATATATTCTATTTTCTTATTAATTCGTTTCTATGTATTATTATAGTGTATCTTCTTCTTCTTCATTGCTCATTTAACAAAATTAAGATTTTTTGCATGCTATTGTTTGTAAATTAAGTTACCCTTAATGAAAAGTATTCGATTTCGGCCTAGTTTCAAAAACAAAATCTTCTTCCATTACTTTTTCTATATTTTATTGTTATATTATGTTATTTTATGAAGTTGCTTCTTATAAATTAGAAGTTTCATCATTATTAGATTATTTTTAGAAAATCTTGATAGGAAATTCTTGATAAGTTTAAAGTGATTCTTAAGTTGATAATTAATTTATTGTTTTATTTTCTTATTATTCTTCGATTTTAGATAATTAATTGATATAATTCATACTTGCAATTTAATTTTATAAAGCCATTTTATATAAATAATATTTAAGTATTTTTTTTATTTTTTTTTTCCACTTTTAATATATAATTAAATATTTATTTTTTTGATATCATAATTTTATTTTCTTATAAAATTATGATATCATAATTTTATTTTCTTACAAAAAATTTAAATTAGTTAAGATAAAATAATTTTTATAATAATAATTTAACGTTTTTTTAATTTTTTAGCAAATATTAAATATATAACCTTATTTCTTTGTATATCTTTACTCTATTTATTTAATTTTTTTTAAATTATTACGTTGATTTTTTTCTTTTCTTATTAAAATTTATATCAAACTTAATTTATAATTTTATTTAAGGTGTTTTTTATATTTTTCTTTTTTCTATTAATTATTTTATTTAGTTTAAGGCATTTAATAAAAATAAAACTTAAAATAAAATATATTGATTTGTTTTATATTTAATAACGTAAATAATAATAAAAGATAATTATTTAATAAAGTACTTTATTAAGAATATATAATATAATCAATAGATTATAATTATTTAATTTTTTGTTTAATATTAAAGCTTTAGAACTCTTATTTTATATAAATTAATTATAATACATTTAACAATTTTTTTTTGTATATGTTGTTTTTAAATAAAAAATACACAAATTTAATAAAGTTATGAACAAAAATTATTATATATGTCAATTATTTATCAATAAATAAGTATCTAGATAATAAATAGCAAAATAGAAGTGTCTATATTTATCTAAAATAATATAATGACGCTGTAACCATTTTGAAAATTTTCAAGGATATTTTCCATAATAAAGTAAAACAATTAATTTTTTATAAAAGAAGTTGCAATAAATAAAATTTTGTAATCTTTATATCTTTATATTATATTAGTTATTTTAACTTTTTAATTTTTCATTATTATTAATTTAGTTTATTTCTCATTTATTTATATGAAATTAGTTGTATATAATAAATAAGTTTTTTATTTATTCTTTATTGTAATAATTTTAAATTATTAAATTTAATTTTATATATATTTTCAAAACAATTATGAATAATTTAATTAACTCAAACTAAGTTTTTATTAATTAAGTTAAAATATTATTATAAATAAGAAAAAAATAAATATATTATTGTAAGTTCTTATAGATAAATAATGCTCTATTCTTCCCTAGTTTTGCAATATTTTCTAAAATAATGAAGTAGCCATAATTGATTTTTGAAAAAATATTAATTTCTTTTTATTAAATGTAAAAATAATGTTTAAATATTATTATTTTTGTACAATTATATTAATGATAAATAAAATAAACTCCAAAATTTTATTTTTACTTTGAACAATTTTCAAGTAAAATAAATACACAAGAATTTGTAAAAAAAAAAAATTAAAGTTATACTAAAGTAAATAATGTATTCGGTGTTGAAATGTATAAAATATATAAAATAGAAATGGTAAATTTTATCAATTAATACTGTATTTATTTTTTAATTATATAAGAACAAATATTTTTTTATTTAATTTATATATTAATTAGATATTTAATATATAAAAAATATAGATATAAAAAAATTATATATAAACCAAAATATAAAATATTATTTTTTATTAATTAAGGTACGTATGTACCTTCCTTTTTCATATTTTTTTTTTAATGAAAAAAATTACTATTAAAGGTTTAAGACATCCATAAATGAAAGACCTTAACGAATATAGCAAATTTAAACTGGATTTCATTATTTTATAATTTCTTCTATTTATTAAATTGTATATTTTTTTTTATGTTTTAATATTAAATTTTCATTTTCTATTTTAGGAAAATATATCCATTTAAATCTCATTTCAATATTATTAATCTTTTGTTAAAAATTAATATTATATTTCATATATATAAGCATAATATTTTGTTTACTTGAGATTTTAAATTTTTATTTTAAATATAAATCTTATATCCCTCAAAATTAAAATATTTTTTTTCCATTTTCATTTAAACATTTTTGCAATAATTTTAATAAAAATATATTTATTCATTTTATATATCTTAGGCATCTAATTAGTAATACTTATAAAATAAAATCATAAAATATATTATAAAAAAAAAAAACTCTATAAGTCTGTTATAATGATTTAAGACTATTGTTTCTTAATCTTTTATCTTTAATTCTCGTAGCTAAATAAAGAGATTCATTTAATGTTTAATAAAATAATTGTTTAACTTAAGTTAAATTTAAATTGCACATTAAGTATAATAATACTAATATATATATATATATTTATGTTAAAAAAAAAAATTGATAATAAAGAACAAATTTTTTATTTAAAAAATTATAATTATATTTATATAATAATAAAAACTGAAAATAAATACTTTAAAAAATATAATAAAAGTACAATATTTATTAGATATAATAAAATTCCAAATAATATATAGTATTATGACGCAATCAAGATATTTCATAACAAAAATTTAAATTTAATTCAATTTAAAACATATAAAAATCTGAAATTTATAAAAAACAATAAAGTATAATATGTCTGAATAAAAAAAATCTTCTACTCCAAATAATAATGGTTTAGCAGGGATGATAGCTGGAGATAGTGCAATATCAACAGTCGGAATAGGATTGGGTTTAAACTATAGAGGATATGATATTGTAGATTTATCAAAGAATTGTATATTTGAAGAAGTTGCTTATTTGATATTATTTTAAACTCTTCCAAATTAATAATAACTTTCCGATTTTATTAGACAAATTGCTTCATAGAGAACACTTCCTATTACCCTAAAAGAAGTTTTAGAAAGAATACCTTCTAATGTTCATCCTATGGATGTAATGAGAACTATATCTTCTTTTTTAGGATTAATAGAACCTGAAACACAACAAAATGATTAAACTAAAGTTGCTTTGAGACTTTTAGGTAAAAAATATATATATATATTTTTTTTAATATAACACAAAAAAGCTATTTTTGGACCCGCTTTAATGTATTGGTATAATTTTGTACATTATAAAGTAAGAATATAAGAAAATACAGGCCCAGAAGATACAATAGCTCGAAACTTTGTAAAATTAATTCACTTTAAGAAGGATATAAATGAAAATATAATCAAAACAATTGATGTGTCATTAATTTTATATGCTGAACATGAATTTAATGCTTCTACATTTGCAGCAAGGTATTTTTTTATTATTATAACAAAACAAAACTAAAAAAAGAGTAACAGTAAGTACACTTTCAGATTTCTATTCAGGGATAACAAGTGCAATAGGGACATTAAAAGGTCCTTTGCATGGAGGAGCTAATGAAGCAGTGATATAATATTTAGAAAACTTAAAAACAATTAAGGATGCTAATAATTTTTTAGAAGAATAATTTCAAAAGAAGAAATTAATAATGGGATTTGGACATCGTGTATATAAAAATGGAGATCCAAGAAGTGATATAATAAAGGAATATAGTAAATTATTGAGTGAAACATAAAAGGAATTCGGAAATAAATAACTTTATGAAATAAGTGAACATATAGAAAAACGAGTTGTAAATGAAAAAAAGAAATTCCCAAATTTGGACTTTTATTCGGCTTCTGCTTATCATTAGTGTGGAATTCCTGTTGAACTATTTACACCTCTTTTTGTAATGTCTAGAGTCACTGGATGGTCTGCTCATATTTTCGAATAAAGATAAAATAATAAACTAATTAGACCTATGTCTAATTATATTGGACCTAAAAAACTTAATTTTGTGCCTTTAAATTAAAGAAGCAAATTATGAAATATAAAAATATTTTTTGTTATTATTATTATATTATATTTTGTTTTTTTATCATTTTTATTTAAAACAAATTGCTAATGCTAAGACATTTTCTTTTAATCCGATGCTTTTAGATATTTATTTATTATTATTTGCATTTATGGGATTTTCATATATTATATTAATTTTTTCATCATATAGTTGCAATAAAAATGTACCATTATCTACATTTAAATTTTTTGTTTTATAATTTGATGTATCTTAAACTACTATTTCATAATCACAACCCAAAATTATAATAAGAAAATGCTCTTTTTAAAAACTAAATCTTCTTTATTTTTAGTTTAAATAGAATACGTCGATTTCTTTAAGGCTTTTTTTAAAAAAATAAATAAATAAGTAATAATTCAAAATGTATTATTTATTTACTGTTTTAAACAATCTGATTTCTTCTTTTCAGTAAAATAGCAATATGTTTTGGTTACGTATTCTGTTATCTTCTCAATACAGGGGAAATTACTTTCTGTTTAAAAACTTTGAACATTCTGAATACCAATATTACAGGTTCCATTCAATTTCTCCTTTACGTAATTCACAATTTATATAATCTCCTATTCATTTAAAAAAGGGGCAATCATAAATCCAAAAGCATCCATTTTAACTTTAATTTCTTTCGCAAAATTAGTCATTTTAGTATGTATTTCACTTGAATTCATAAATTCTTTGGTCATATTTGATATTTTTCTAACTTATTTTAATTCATTTTATTCTTATTAATTTTTACTTTCTTCATCTAATATTTGTTCTTATGCTCTTCCTAATATTAAATCAATATCAATATCAGCAGCTACCCAAGGATACCATAAAGAAGGAACCTTATATTATATTAATTAAAAAATACTATGTAAAAAAAAATACTCTGATCAATTAACTTTTACAATTAATTCTAATATCATCAGGAATATCAAAAATTTATTTACTTCCTTTCATTTTAATCGGATAGAATAATTTTTTAGGATTTCTAACCACAAAAATATACTCACATTATGAATCCTCCCTATATTTTTCTGGAATATTAGCAATATACTTCTCCCTAGTTAAAACTCCCTATAAATCAATACAACCCAATAAACATCCTGTAGGATATCTTTTAGGAAAAGGAGGCATTCCTTAGACACCTTTATAATGTTCTTTATATTAATTTTCTATTTCTTCTATTTATTCTTAAGTAGGAATAGTAGCACCTGCATGAATCCATAAAACTCCTTTATATTCAGTATTCCAATATCTTCCTTCGAATCTTTTATAACCTTCAATAAGTAAAGAAGCCCAAGGTTGTAGCATAGAAAGGCACTTTCCTTCGTCATCTAAATTTATATTGTATAATGGTTAATCGTATATTTCTTCTCCAGCTTAAAACTGTTGTTCTGATTCTTATATTTCTTTTTGAATTTAAGCTTGTATTTCTTTTCTGAATTCTTCATTTCTCATAATTGCACCCTTTTATTAACATGATGGCTTTTGTTATTATTATTAAGGTTTATTCATTTATTCGAGTTCTAGTTTTATTTACTCATATAGCTTTTTTTGTTCTTATTTTAAAGATGAATTGGCACTTACTTATAATACTTTTTCATTTTCTTTATCTTAATTTTAATCTTAATCTATTTCTACTAAAAACTATTGAGCTTTCGTTTTAAATTTATTTTCATCAAAAATAGGCTTATTTTCTATCCATTTCTTTTATTAAACATCAAATTATACATGAATATGTTTATCATTTTCCTCAATCTCTTCATTTTTAGCAATAATTTATTCAACAGCAGTTTTTCGCGCATTTTTATCTTGCCAAACATCATCAGCTATTTAATACCTTTATAAATATAGAAATATATGTAAATTTAAGTAAAATTTATATACCAATCTGTTTATTCATCAAATATATTTTTTTAAATAAAATTGCTTTTATCAAATTCAAGCATTTTATTTTTATGCTATATTGCCTTATTTACTTCACTTGTTGGATCTTGAAATTCAGGAAATTCTTCTTCATCTTTTCCAAAATCTGCTCTTTATCCTTTTTACAAAACTTCATTTCCACAAAAAAAGCAAGGTCCTATTCCTTCTTATTCACAAATTATCCTTCCACAAGTTAAACAATTATTAATTAAATTGTGCATTTAGGCATGACATTAACAAAATTATCGACCTGGAAAAAGAGGAGCTTCTAAATTAATTTTTTTTTTTCCTTTTTTTTAATTTACAATTACTGCATCCATTTTTTTTTATTTTTATTTTTATACTATTTATTTTTTTAAAAAAATAAGAATTTATTATTAATTTTTTTAATAGTAAAGGGCATATATATGTGAACAGAAAAGATAAAAAAAATATAATATTAATTATGTATAAATACTTACAAAAAATATACATAATAAATAATTTCTTTATATTTTATTGTAATTGTTATTATTTATTTTTATAAAAAAAAAAATCTTCTTAAATCTTTCAATTAACAAACTTATAAAATAAAAAAATTAAAAAATTAAAATATTATTACCTTTGGAGTTTTTGGCCTAGAAATATTAGTTTTTTTCTCACCAGGTTTAAGTATTTAAAAGCTGCACATTAAACTTTCATCTACACTCATTAAAGCACCACAATTATCAAATTCTCCACAATAATTAGGGGCTGAGAATACAGTAACAAGTTATCTTTTAGCAAAAAATTCATATCCATCTTCAACAACTTAATGAGCTCTACATATTAAATCTAAATCGAATTTTTTTAAAAAACTAGAAACAACATCAGGTCCATAAATATAGCTTACACCTCTTTCATTATCAGCCCATCCTAGAATATCTTTTTCAGGATCACTCCATAATAAATCGCATAAGAGACCTGTATCAGGAATTTCAATAGGACGCATTATTCTATGAATGGTTTCCAAATTATTCAATTCAGGTGATAATCCACCATGCATGCATATTATTTTCTCATCAACAATAGCACAAATAGGCAAACAATTAAAACAATCAGTAAATACTTTCCAAATTTTTACATTATATCTTCTTTTACCTATATTTTATTTTTAATAGCTAATTTTTGGATTTTGGATTTTGGATTTTTTTATTTTTTACATTCATCGTAAAATCCATATATACGGTTTATTGAAGAACATTCATGATTTCCTCTTAATAGGAAAAAATTTTCAGGAAATTTTATTTTATATGCAAGTAATAAACATATTGTTTCTAATGATTATTTACCTCTATCAACATAATCTCCTAAAAACAAATAGTTAGCCTCAGGAGGAAATCCTCCGTATTCAAACATTCTAAGTAAATCAGGATATTGACCATGAATATCACCTGATTATAATAAAAATATAATTTAAAATAAAATATGTATATATAAAAATATATAAATATATAAATATATATATATATAAATATATCAATATATTTAATTATATTAATCAAATAATATTTTAATAATTATTTTAATATTTTATTTATATATTTTTATTCATTATAATTTTGCTTTTTTTTATTATTATTATTCTGACAATTTTAATTTTTTTATTCTATAATCTAAATTTTATTTTACCACATATTTTTATTGGAGCTTCTAATTCTAAAAGCATTGGTTGAGATAAAAATATTTCCCTTGACTTTAAACATAAAGCTTTTATTTCTGCTTCTGATAACGCTGAACTTCTCGCTTTTGAAGATTATTTTGTTTCAATTAATTTATCTATTATATCGTCTATATCTATTGATTATTTTTACATTTTTTTTTTAATTTTATTTATATATATTTTTTATTTTTATTTATTTTTTATATTAAATTATATCAATAATTTATTTAAAATTTTTGTTTTTATATTTTAATAATTAAATATAAATATTATACATTGTTATGTAAATATTTTTTTTTTTCATTTTATGTTTATATTGTATAATACTTTATTACATATTTTTTTAATAATATATACTTCACTATAAAAAGAAAATATAATTTTTATCTTTTATTTTATATATTAAATATTTATTTTATCTTTTTTAATTTTATAATAATTAATTTATTTAATTTTTAATTAAATTAATTTATAATTAATATATAATTTATATTATAAAAAATATTCATATTTTTTATAGTTCCATTTGTTATTAATATTTAATTTATTTTTTATTAAGAAAGAATTTATAATATTATAATAATCATTTAGCCTTATTTTTTTCAAAACATTTTTAAAAAAAGAATTATATTTAAAACAAATTTTACTTTTTTCTTATTTACATGTGTCCATCAAAACTTTAAAATAATTAAGGAAATATAAGAATAGTATAATAAACATAAATTAACAAAAAATTATGAAATACTAAATATAATAAAAGCAATAATTATAATATTTAGTTTAAAAGTAAAAAAAGAATTATATTTGAAGTAATATTTAATGAGATATAACCTAATTTTTATATAAAATTTAATGCATTTTATTCTTATCTATAATATAATTAAAAATGTACAACTAATATAACAAAATATATATTTTTCTTTTCTTTTTAAATCATTTTTTTTTTTATAAAATAAAAAAAGTAATTATATTAAAAAAATATATGTATATATGGAATTAAGGCTTTTTTTTTAATAAATTATATAAAGATATTATTTTTATAGACTAAATAATATTTGAAAGATGAACATGCCTTAATCAATTGTGAATTTATTATTTATAATCATAAAGTTATCATAATAGTTGCTATTTTATAATTTCACAAAAAGATTATTTTTTATATTCTATTATAAAATTAATTAGGCATTAATGTTTTATTTAAATGTCACAAAAACTTAGTGACAAAATAATGTGGTTTATATATTATATATTAATACAAAATATAATATTTTAATAAATCTATCAGTATGTTCTCTTATTAAATATAATAGTTTATTATTTTTTTAAAAATTAAAACTTACTTAAATATATAAAATTTAAAATAATTAATTAGAAAATTTAGTAAAATTATTTTATATTGTTAAATAATTTATAATATTTTTTTTCATTATATTTTAGTTTACCTATTAAATTAAATATATTTAATAATAATAAGTTTTGTATTTATTATATTATTACAATAGAAATATTAATAAAAGTTTATTTCAGATTAAAAACTTTCCGAAAATAAAAAAAAATATACTAATTAAATTATATTTAATATAATATAAATATTATGTATACTTAAGACTAAGAATACATATGAATATATTATTTTTTTATATATATTGCTATTATATTTATATATAACCATTTATACAATGATTAAATAATAAAATATATTTATTTTATAATTAATAATAAAATATATTCATTTTATAATTTATTTTTATTTCAATTAATTTTAACTAATTCTTAATCAGGATGAATTTAATTAACCATATTTGTTTTTTCTTCTTCTTTCATTCTTCCAATAAATCTAAACGAGACTTTAAATATGAAGAACCATAAGAAATAATTACTAAAACAAACTACATACATAATTTTCCAATTTGTATATAAATTTGGTGTCATAGAATAACAAACTCCTTCAAAAAGTTTTTCTATAAAATAAAAAAAAAATTAATTAAAATAAATTATTTATATATATGATTTTTTTACAAATATTTTATCCAAAGAATAAACAATTTACATTATCAGCAATACCAGTAACACCAGATATTTCAGCAATTAAAGATTTAAAATTATTCTTTATATTTTGGATTTCATCTTCAAATTAATTAATTGTTTAAACGAAATTTGTATATAAATTTCTAATTTAAACTGCAGTTTAAGATCTTACTCTATTTATATTTCTAATTTATACATTTTTTGTATCAGTCATTTATGAAAATATAGCTTTGAAATAATCAGTAGGTTGAGTAGCACAGCCATTGTATCTGGTATTATATTGGGCATCTGATGGTTAATCATTTAATAAATCTTCTAGGATAATACATTAATTTGCAGCATAAATAGCAAAAGATGCTGCTGTTTTTACTTGAACTTTATCAGTAGCACAATCAGTCGTAGTAGTAACAATAGTTTCTACTTAAGCAGCTCCACAGAATTCTTAATTTTTAGTTCTTGTAAGTAAAGTTTACATGTTTTATTGAGCATGTTCTTCATCTAATCTATGATCATTGGTTTTAATGTTATTAGCTTAAGCCATATCAAAATACCCTTTATCTTTAAGATCTTAGTGTTATTTTGCAAATTCATCGAACAGAATTTAAGCATCATTAAGCTTTTTATTATCTGTATCATATTATTTTAAAGATTCATTAAAATTATCATTTATTTAATCCAAATCTTTTATTTGTTTTTAGATTCCAAAAGATTAAAGAATATTTCCATCTCCACCTAAGGAGGCTAAACATATAGTAATTTTATCTTTAATGCTTTAATCAAAGTTTAATTTTTAAAATTCAGCTTAACTTTATAATATTCCTTCAACATAGATACATGATTCCATTGTTAATATTGACACTAAATTTAGTAATGTTACTACAAGGAAAGCTAAAGCAGTTATCAAAGCAAGAGCTATCCATAAGAAATTAAGTATAAGCCTTAATTTCCAAATTTTTTTTATAAATCCAAGAGCTGACAGTATTACGGAAGCTAAAGAAAAGACAATAAATAAACTGTATAGACTTGTCAAAGCTTTATTTATCATGTCAAATATATTGTCTGCTATTGAAAGATTATCATTTATAAACTTTATTTGATTATTCAAAGTTTTACTAAAACTACCTATACTATTTTGACCTTATTATATTGAATTTGTTAAAGTTTAATCATTAAAAATTTATTATGCTTTTTCTTTTACAATGCTCATTACTTTTAATAAAATATCGAAAGATTCACTATTTGTTGTTTTAAGAATTTACACAGCTCCGTCCTTATAAGCAACATCACTAAAATATAATGAAGGTGAAGGCCTATTATTTACAAGATAAGGTACTGTATAGTACGCATTGTATGATTAATTAATCGCGGCACCAACATAAATATTATCCAAAAAATTGCCTATTTAAGTTTGCAGATTGTTAATTTAATCTAAAGCATTGGTATTAGCAAGATTAGACATATTATTTTTAAAATCCAATATTTTATTAGATATAAATTTAACTTTTTATTCAATTTATTATAAACCAATAAATACTGCTGTTGAAGAATCATCCTTAGTAACTATATTTTTGAGATTTAAATCATCTAAAGTAGACAAAACTGTGCATTTTATTTCTTTAAAAGATTTATATACGGATCCTCCATATGATAACCCTGCTATCGATGCTGTAACACTAAATATTGCGAAAAATAATAATACTATTATTGGGCAAAGCATTTCTTTTTTTGTATAAGGTTATTACAATACATCTCTTTTGCAACATGAAAATGGTGGACAGGCTTTTTTTTTATTTTTTTATTTTATTTTTTTTATTTTTTTTTACATTAGTCACAACAAAAATAACAACAATAATAAGGTAAGCATACTAAAATAAATATAAAACAAAGAAGAGATATTGCTAATAATACAGATCTTCTTATTAATTAATTGACACTAGGAATACTTCTTGATTCCATATATTCCTTTACAATTGAACCTCCATAAGCTTTTTAGTACTCTTTTATTTGAGTTATACCTTTATTTTTTAATCTTAATTTAAGTTTCCCTCAAATTTAACTGCTTCACAAGCAATTATTCTATCGGGATTTTTAGTACCAAAAACTTCTACGCTTATTAATTATCGATTTTATTATTATTTGTAATTTTAATAATTATATGATTTTAAAAATTCGATTTTTGTATCATTATATTTTAATACATTTGTAAAAATGAGTAATATACAACAAAAACAATAAAGCTTATATTCTTTCTTCATATATAATTTACTTTATAAAATTTTTTATTTTTTATTTTATTTTTTTATTAATTTCTATTATTATTAATGTATTTCTTATCTATAGATATTTTATGATTAATCTATTTTAAAAAAACAAACAACAATTAATAGATATCATAATATTTTTTTGTAAAATAGACATTTTAATAGAAAAACTAAATAGTTAGAAAAATATACTGAAAATAAACAATAATGAATTTTGTTTCATTTTATTAAATTTAAATTATAAAAATAAAAGCAGATAATAATAAAAATTTTAATATTAATTATAAAATAATAATAATTATAAAATTATTTTTTAATAAAATAAATTATTATTAAAAAATTATATACCATATTATGTATTAATATTTGATAATAAATTATTAAAAATCTAAAAATAATATTTTTATATTATCTATATAAAATAATCATTATTTTAATTGCTCATATTATTTTAAATCCATTATTTTAAAATTATATATATATATAAAAAATCTCCAAAATATATATTTTTGTAATAGAGTAAATAAATAATTATTAATTATAAAAATATTAAAAAAAAAAAATTTTTTGAAAATCAAAAAAATTAAAAAAAAATACTACATATAATATAAAATAAAAAATAATATTTAAAAATTATATGAATTTCATTAAATAATAAAAAAATACTATTTATAATATATATTAATTTATAAGATATTTAATTTTTTATTAGTCTTGATATTTTTTTTTTTAAATAAACAAATATTGAAATAATTATTAATATTATTTAAATAAATATTTTTGTAAATAAAAATATTTAAATAAACTTCCTTTTAAAAAAATTAATATAAATAAAAAGATATATATATTTATTATATTTATATAACAGTTATAATTTTCTATACATTTATTATAAAAAATATATATTTTTTTTAAATTTATTCATTAAAATGCTTAAAAAATATTATTTAAATTTGATTTTAAAGATAATTATATAAAAAAATAATTAATTTTAACTCTTAAAAAATAAATAAATTGGTAAGAATCTAATACTTTAGATTTTGTTTTAATTTTAGTATATTTTTACTAAATTTCTATATCTTATATTAATTTTTTAAAGCATTTTTTTATATATTTTGATTTTATGAAATTTCGATTTTATGAATTTCATGGTTTTGCACTATATAATTTAATTTTTTATTTATATAATTTTATAATTAATATTTTAATATTTATATACTTTTTAAAGATATTAAAAAATTATTTATAAAAATTTTAATTTTTTTTTTTTTTAAGAAAATTATATAATATAAATAATATATTGAGTATATAATTATTTTTTTTATATTTCAAATAAAAGTTATTATTAAATTATAATTAATATTATTTTTGTCTTTTATAATTGTTTTTTTATTTTAATATTTATACTATATATCCATAATCAATTATATAAGATTTATTTGAAATTATTTAATACATAAAAAATAACTACTTTTAGTATATTCCTTTGTTTTTTGGAATATAATTAAATTATTTTTATAAAGCTTTACACTATTTTTTAAAAATTTGAATAAAGATTTTAGAGAGAAAAAAATTGTATTTATAATATATTATTTAATTAAATTACTTTTTCTTTAACATATTAACTTTTTATTATCAATTATAAAATACAAAAAACCTAAAAAAAATAAGATAAAATTTAAAAATAAATTAAGATAAATGACTTTAATAAATAAAAAGGAAACTTGAAATAACAAAATAAAATAAAATGTTAAAAAATATATTTTTAAAATAATTTTAATTTTTTTTTTAAAAAAAAAAAAAATTATAATTATTAAAAAATTTTAATCACTTGTTATTAATTATTTTAATATTAATTTAAATGAATTATCATATATATATATATTTACCATAAAAAAAACTTATTTAAAAATAATATATATATTTAAATAATTTTATTAAAGAAATCTATATTAATAAATATATATATAAGAAAATTATGTGTTTACTATTAATTAAATTAATTATTTAAAAAAACGTATAAATAAAAATATTTTAATTTAATAAATATAAGATAATATATTTTATAATTCTATGAAAAAATTATTAAAATTATATATTAAAATAAATTAAATTATTTATTGAAAAAAAAATGTTTTATGTATAAAAAATAATAAATGGGTATTTTCCTATTTATATTCGATTAAAAAGAAACAAAATCTTATAAATAACAAAATATGGCTGGATTAAATAATAAATAATATATATATTGACATTTTTAAAGTTATAAAAATTTAAAATGTTAAATCTTATGAAATTATTGATTATTTAGTAGTAAAAGCATTTTCAAATCAATTTCTGATTTTAATATCATAAATAATAAATTAATTTTATGATAAAAATAAACTAAAATAATATTTTATTTAATTATGCAACTTGCCATTTAGTTGATATAATTTAAAAAAATTTTTAATATAATTCCTTGTATTTTAGTGACTATAAATAAACTCTAGTATAATCAGATAGTGCTTTTTTGGGCATTACTAAAAAAAAGAAGAATAAAATAAGTGAAAATATTATGAGGTGCAAATATATAAAATTGAAAAAATATATATTAAAATATTTATATGAATATTAATAATAAATATAGATACTTTATTAAAAAATTTCCTATATTAAAGATTTTAATGAAAAATTATTAATTTAAACATTAAAATAATAAAATTAAAATAATTAAAATATAAATTAAAAAAAATTATAAATTATTAATATTATATATTACTAATAATATTTTTAATTTTATAATTAAAAATGAAAATTTAACCACATTAATTTTATATATTATATATTTTAAATTATATTTTTAGATAAATTATTGAAAATTATAATTATTTTTAAAAAATAAATAATAAATTTTTTTTAATATAATCATATTACATATTTATTTATTTAAATATTAGGAAATAAAAAGAAAACTAATAAAGCCTATAAAAATAATTTAATATTATTATCTTTATAATGAAATAATAATTAAGTATTATTTTCTTTTTTTAACTAATCATAAAAATTATCTTAATATTAATTTAATTAAAATGTCCAAAATATATTAAAAAAATTAATATTATATAGTAAGTAGTATTTATAATATAAATTTTATATATATTTATTTTATTTATTCTTTATTATGTTTTTATGGTTATCAATTAAATAATTAAATTTATTCAAACAAAAATAATCATAATTTTATTTATAATAATAAAATCTATATAAAATAAATATTTTAAAATATAATTTTTGTTAAAACAAATAAATTGTTAAGTTTAAACATATAAAAAAAGGTTATTATTTATTTTTAAATGATTCACAAAAACAATGAAATAATAATTATTAGGATATGTATTAATTATAAAAATCCAATAATTTTGTTTATAGAGAATATATTCAATATTTATTTTTATTTTCCTTCTGATATTTATTTATCATTTAATTTTAATTAGAAATCATTTGAAAATAATTTGCTTTCAATAAAATCTAATTCACATTTTAAGTTAAGTTAACAATTACTTTATTAATTAGAATTTTGATCATTTTAATTACTATTTATATTAATTTCTTTTAATTAATTATTTATGTTTATATTATTTAATTAAAAACTTTCTTAAACATCTTATACATTTTTCTATTCTGTCAAAACTTTATTTAAATTTTCTTAATTTTATTTCATATTTTTAAAATTCTCTTACTTCTAATAACATCTTCTTATTTTATTAAATTATTAAAGGAGAACATGAATAGATTTCATTTTTTGGAGTTTTATTTATACCTATATAATTATCATCTAAATTTTTTAAAGAAGTAATTTATCTTTGTCTTTTATTTAAATTTTGCTAAAAAGAAACTCTTTTTTCTAATTCTTCATTTTCTATTTTTTATATTTAAATTGTCTCTTATAAGTTTTCGATTTTGTTTTTTAATTTTAATATCTGACTTTCAAGTTTATCCCTATGTTATTATATATTTTTGAATTCGGTTTCATTATTTTAAATATATTATTATTATTATTAAAAGGCTTTTTTAAAATTATTCAATTCATTATCTAAATATTGATTGTCTTTTTTTAATAATTCAATTAGGAGTTTAATTCTTTTATTTAATTTTCATAAACCTCTTCTTTTTAAATATATACTTGTTGTATATTTTAATTTTCTATGTTTTATAATAATTCTTATTTCTATTATTAATCTTTTTCCATTTTCTTTATTAAACCTTATAATATAGCATTTTTTTCTTAACTATTTGTATATAAATTCTATTTTTTTTTTAAAAAAAAAATATTTATTTATTTAATAAAATGATTTTTATTTTACTTAATACTAATTTAAAAATTATGTTTTGTCACTTAACTCAACTTAAAGTTCATATATTTTTTAATCTTATTAGTCAACTTCATATTGTTTACTTTCTGCTTTTATAGAAGATTTTTATATTAGATATTCTTTTTAGTTTATATAAAAATAAATAAATTAAAAAATCTATATTTATCTTATACTTCCTAAATAAATTAAGGATTTTATTTATTCTTCATTTGAATTTATTATTTCTAAAAGTTAAACAACCTCATCTTTATTATATAAATAATTTTAAAAATATATAAATTTATAAGAACATATTAATATTTATTTGTTTTTTTTTTATTTTTTTAATAAAAAGAACCTTAAAGATCATCGGCAATAATTCCAGATTATATTCTCCTTTCAATAAAAGGAGTTTAAATCTCGATTTCAAGTTTATCAAGATAATTTTAAATGTAGTTTTCATCATATAGATCATTTTCTAATAAAAGGGACATATTTTAAATTTTAAAATATTATTATATATAATTGATATGAAAAAAATAAATAAACAAAAACTATATTTTTGATAGAATGTTTTTATATTTTGTTTTGTCTCATTTAAATAAATAAAAAACGTATTACAAATATAATAATTTGATTAAAATATTATTAAAAAATAATAATTTTAATAAATAAATTCTTATATTATATATATCTATTTATATGGTATGTATATTCAGTTTTTTTTTTTTTTTTCAATTAAAGTTTTTAAAATAAGAAATAACTTCTTTATTATATAAAAATAATTTAAAATAAATAAATATATATTATGTAAATAATGAATAAAATAAGATTACACTATTTAAAACCTTAGTTAAGATACAATAATAATAAAATATTAAACTGTGAGAAGGTATATAAGAATTTCCAGTTATTAAAAGAGTATAACATTTTAATTATTTTACATAAAATAATTAATAATAATGAAATTAATTATAAATAACATAATTTTTTTTTAAAATAAAATATATATAAAACAATTTTTTAATATATACTTGTTGTTATTATTTAATTTTGTTAAATTTTAAAGAAATTAGAATTTTTTTTAAAAAAAAAACTATAATATATATATATATTCAGTGGACTTTATGGAAAAAATATTTCCATTATATTATGTAATATCTTTTAAATATAATACAAAATTGTTATAGTATAATTTGTAATTAAAATTTATAGAAAAATAGATTTAAATAATGAATAATGAATTTTCTTGAAAATTTAGTGTTTAAATCCAAAAAAGAAGTATTTTAATTATTATTATTTATTTGATAAATGATTTAACAAATAATGGATTTTTATAATTAAAATATATATATAATTGCCAATATACTCCTGTTTTTTCACCTTTTGAAGTATTTTTTGTGTATAATAAAATCTAAGTTTAAAGGTTAAAAGATTATTAAATATAATAGGATTAATGAAAAAAAATCATTTGCTTAATTTAATGTATTATTTAAGTGGTTTAAATAAGAAACTAAAAAATCAATTATTTTAAATAAAAAAAATGAATATTATTTATATTAATATTTTTAAATATAAGAAAAAATTAAATAAATATTATAAAAAAATACGATATAAAAAAAAAAATAAGTGTATTTATATAAATTTAGTAAATAATTTTTATATATAATATATAATTTATTTTTTATCAAATCAATAACTATTAATAACTTCTTCATTAATTTCTTCATTTTCACTTAAATCACTTACATCTTCTAGTGAAATATCACTTAAATCCCTCTCATTATCTGTACTTTCCTCTTATTTTTCTATTTAGATATCATTATTTTGTTTTTTTTCCTATATTTTATCAACATCTTCTGAGTTATTTTAGTTGCATATTTACGTACATAATCTTTTACTTTAGCTTCATAAAGTTTTATGTTTTTATTCATTAAAGCAGCTGCTTCAGGGTTCAAAGGATCATGTGGAGAGGGATATTAAAGTAATTAAGGAAGAAATATATCAAAAACATTTATTAAATCAAACATTGGAGACCATGATTAATTAATAACATCTAAGCATACACTACCTGAACTTTTTTATATAAAAAATGAATAATGTTTAGTATTTAATAAATTATTTTTTATTTATATAGATTTTTTTTATAAATAAATTAATATAAAATTAAAATATATGATTATTTTATTGTTTAATTATTGAAATATTTAAAAATAATAATTTTTAAATTAATAAATTATCTCTATTAAAAAAAAAAATTTTTGTTTTTTGTAAATTATTTTGCTTTTTTTTTTTTTTTAATATTATAATATATTTTTGTTTCTTTTTTTTTTTAAAAAAAAAATAATTAGTAGTAAATAAATTAGTTATTAATATTTCTTTTATTTTCTCTAATTTAATATATATATATATATATATTATTTATATATATATATATATATTTTTTTTTACGCTTCATCAACATTAGGATGATATATCTTATTTGAAAATCCAATAGAAGGTGATTTATATGGATATTAATCAGGTAATAATACATTAACTATCCATACTCCTTTTTCATATAATGAATTTTTAGGTCCAGGAAACTCAATTTAAATATTATTTTTGTTTTCGGAAGTTTAAGTAACTTTGTAATTACTCATTAATAATTTAGTTATGTCTCTTTATTTTCTTTTTATGCATTATTAAGGGTTAATATTTGACATTATTTCAAGTTTTTTGTTATTGAATATTTTGTATTTGGAATTTTTTTTTTTTTTAAATAAAACTAAAATCTACTTTTTATTTTTTTTTATAATATATAAATATTTTAATTATTTATTTTAAAATATTAAATTATTATTATTTATCGCATTTAAAGGATTTTTAATAAATTTATTATAATTATTATATGAATATTTTTTTCAAACCACATTAAATTTAAAAAATAAATTATTAGTAATTAAAATAATAATATGAAATAAATAAATAATATTTATTAATGTTAATCTATAATTATAAATAAATTTTCTATATTTTTTATAAATATAATATAAATAAATAATAAATGAATTAAATGATAAAATTACGATTTTCAACTATTTATTATAACTACAATTTATTGATTATTAATTTTGTTATCTTGATTATAAAAAGAATTTAATTTATATTAAATCATTTTCATAATATATCTTGATTTCTAAATATTTAATTAGATATATTTATTTTTAATTAAATATATAGAATTTCTATATTTTAAAATACAATAATTTAGAAATTATGATTTTTACTTTGAGAATATTTAAATAAAAAGAAAATATTAATAAAAATCTATAGACCAAGTTATAAAAAATGTTTATATATATAGATATAAAAATAAAACTAATGCATTTTTTTATAAAATAAACTAAAAAAATTAATTTTTTTAAGAAAATAATAAATTATTTTAATTGTAATTCATCATAAATATGATATGACAATACATATAAATTTTAGTAATTTTAATATATAAAAATATTTATAAGATTTTACTATTTTAATGGCAATTTGTATATATTTTTAAATAATCTTCAAAGGAATAATAAAATGATATTTAATTAATTTATATAAATCATAAAATAAAAAAAGAAAAATAATTTATATATATATATATATAAAAAAATCATATTAATATATATAAAAAAAATTTCATATGATATTTATTTCAAAAATCATTCATTATATTATTCTAATCATAATTTAAAACTACATTTATCACAACAATATATATAATATTTTTTTAGTAATTTTTATTCTTAAGTTTCATTTGAAATTAGTTTAAATTTATTATAATCTAATTAAATAATATTTATATATTATAATTTTAATTTAAATATATATTTATATATATATATATATATATATATATATATATATATATATATATATATATTTTTTTTTTCACTTTAAATTTGGATTTTATTTATTATTATTTTTAAATTAAATTAAATCATCTTTTTCATTTTATATATCGGAAAAAATGTTTTTTTAATTATTAAAATTATCACTTTTCATAAAAGGATTGTCAATATTTTTTTCTTTCCACATTTCAAAATCAAAAAATTAATATTTATTTTTAATTGATTCTATATTATTTGCTTTTTTTACTAATAATAATTATCTGTATTTAATTCATGTATTTAATTATTTTATATTTTTTGACTATTATTAAAAGAGTTTTTATTAAGATAACCATAATTATTCCAAAAATAGAAGATCCTTCAATAGATTAATTTCTTTTAAATAATTCTTCTTTTATTTGAAATTATTTATTATTATTTTATTATTAAGATATTTATTCTTTAAACTTATTTATCTTTTCTTCCAAAACTTTTAAACTAAATTTTTAATTTTATTAATTTTTATTGTTTATTTATTAATCAAATATGTTATTTTAAAGTTAAAATAAGTTTTCATTTTACATTGAATCTTTTTAAGTATTATTTGATTCATTGCGATTTTAATTATCATTTTCATCAATTTATTGTGTTATATTATTATTTTATGAAGCATATAAGTTGTTATCAATAGTTTTTTAGAAAATATTAATTGTACAACCATCTTAAAATTCGAATAATTTAGTTGAGTTTTTTTTATTTTTACAATAATCTTTATTACCATTGTTAAAAATATTACTTTAATTTTAATCTTTACTTTCTGAATTAAAATTACTATGAAATTCATTAGAATTAATATCATCTTTAAGATTAACATTTGGAGTACTTCCTTAATTAATAGAGTCATTATTTAGATTTGTAAAAAAATATTTTAATTTTAAGTTTTTTCAAAATTATTATGACTTTCTTTAAAAACATTAGAGTTATTATTAAGTATATTTTAATTTTAACTATCATTATTAAATATATTATTATTAATTATTTAATTATTATTGTTTTTTTAGACATATCTATTATAGTAGTAGTTTAAGCCTGATTTATTATCAGTATTACAGTTAAGTTTACTATTATTAAAAATATTCATATTACTATAAAAATTTCTATTACTTTTTAAAGAATTACTTTTTGGATAATTCGAAATATTATTAATATTAAAAATGTCTTATTTTTTTTCAAAAAGGGAAGTATTGTATTCTTCCTTTGTTTATTAAGATTTACAATTATCGGTTTTGAATATATTCATAGAAATATTTTTTTAATTAATTATTCTATTATTAGGTATATTGAAAACGTTTTAAGAAGAATTTTATTTAATTTAATTATATAATTCAGATTTTATAGGTTAATTAATGTTTTCTTTATTATCTTAATTTTTTTAGTTCATATTTTAATATATTTGTTAATAAGTTTCAGGTATTTATTTAGTCAATAAAATATAGTTATCTTTTGCCTAATTAGCTAATTGTGTCAATTTTTCAGTTAGATTCTCCTTATGTTTAGATTATGGAATAAAATAAAGATCCATCTTTTAAATGACTTCTAGTTAATTTGAATATTAGTATAGTTTCTTTTATAAGTCTTTTAATAGTAATTATAATTCATTTGGTTGGTTTTCCAAGTATAAATCATATTTTTATTTTTTTTGGTTAGATATATCAATATTTTAAAAGATAATTATTTTCTTTGGAGAATATGAATTTATTAAAGATAACTATAAAAAAATAAATAGGTTAAAATATATAAATATATATATATATATATATATATATATATATATATATATATATATATATTTATATATAATATTTATTTATATATATTAATTATTTTTATATATTATTTATACAGTATCAAAGTTTATATTATTTTCTTTCTTTATATCGAAAATTTATTTTGTGTTTTTCTATTCATCTTTATAATATAATATAAATTCATATTTAATATTATATATAATTTTATTTAAATATATTAAATTTAATAAAATATAATATATATATTTTTTATATCATTATACCGTTTATATTTTTTTATTCACAACTTTTTTAACTTATATATATTTATTTAAAATCATTTTAATTATTATCATTTTCTTTTTTTTATAAGAAGAAATTATCTCTTTAAGTTTAATATTCACTTTTTTAGCTTAATGATTTTTTTAATATTTAATCCAGTAAAATAGAGAATGAATTAAAAAAATATTTATTATATTGCATTTATTAAGATTTTTTTTCAGAAGACAAGTTTACTTTAAAGATTTTTTCACCATATTAAATGTTTCTCATTTGATTAATTTAATTTTTTTAGATAGTTTTTATATGTTAAGTATGAAATATTTCCTTTTTTTTTTAAAGTAGTATATTTATGTATGAAGTTCCAGTACTTTAAGACTAAGAAATATTGGACATTTGTTTTTATCGAATTTTTTTTTTTTTTTAATTTTTTTTGTTTAAATTATTTATATTTTTTTTATAGACCGCTATTATTTATTTTATATTTTAAAAATAATTAAACTTTAATTTTTTGTTAATTATATTTATAAATTTATTAATATTTCAAATTTTTAAAAATTTGATATATTGACTATTTTTTTTTAAATAAAATATATATAATAATATATTATATTAAAATGAAAAAATAAAATTTATAACATTATTTTAAATTTTTCTATTATTTTATTTTTGAGATTATATATTGTATTCAATATATATTATATTGATTAAGTTTAAAAATATTTAAGTCATAATTATTTAAGTTATTATAATATAATTTATTTATATTAAGATACAAGAAAAATTCGAATACTTATAAAAACAAATTAATCGAATTATTGTTTATCTTTAATTAAAAATTTTATACTAAATTTTATTTCAATTAAGAATTTAAAAATATTATAGAAAATTAATTTAGCTTTTATATTTTAAACTTTAAATAAATATATATATATATATATATTATTAATTAAATATTATATTTTTAAAAACGCATTTAAATTAATTAATATTTATCAATTATAATTTTTAATAATAATTTATCAAAAAATATTAAACAAATTTTAATAATTTATAAATTTATTTAAATAAACTAAAAAAAATTAAATCAAACTTAAAAATATATAAATAATTTTTTTTATATTATAATTTTATAATTTGTATATTCAAGTAATAATATAATTATTTTATTTAATATTTTATTATTAATTTAATATAAATATAAAATTAATTCTACTTATTATATTAAATATCATTTAAGATAATTAAAAATAATCATTTATAATATAATATAAATAAATTATATAATATTTATAAAAATGTCATAATAAGATTTTTAAGTAAAAAAGTATATAATTATATAATATTATTATTAATGATTAAAATCAAAGAAATTAATTTAAATAACACAAAAAACTCCCACATTAAGAAATTTAAATGATCTAAATTTTATTATGGCCTTTCCAGTAGACATATTGAAAGAAAAAATAAATCCTTATGCCCAATTATATGCTAGGTATTTATACTATTAGGAATTTTAGAACAATCGTATAATATTTGCAAATAGTAAAAATAAAAAAATTAAATAAATAATTAAAAATATTAACAAAAAAAGAGATTATTAAAAATACACTATATCTAATCATATAAGGATAAATAGGCATTTTCGATAAATATAATAACATAATAAGGACTTATAATAATTTGGATTATTTAAACGAAACCGAAATAATAAAATTAAATGAAAATTTTAAAGAAGCGCGTATATTAATGAATACATAATTAGCTTTAATATCAGAAAAAATATTTAAAAATATAATTTATCCTTTAGAAGAAATAAAAGAATGGAAAATTTATGATTTTCTGAGTAGTTTATATATATTTTAAGGATGGAAAAGCTAATATTTAAGAAGAATATTGCCTTTATTTGAAGAAAAATAATATGGAAAAAATAGTGTGATTTTCTAAGAAAAACAAGAAGTAGATGGAGTTTATATTGTAAAAGAAGGAACATTTAAAATAATGAGAAATTACGAAGGTCAAATAAAAGAAAAAGATAAAGTAACAAAAATAAAAGATATTGAACAAAGAAATTGTAATAAAATATAAGATTTATAAATATAAAAAAACAGAAAGTAAAAATACAAATAATTTAAAGTAAGAAAAAAATAATAATTATATATAAATATATAAATATATAATTATAAATATTTATTTATATTTTTATTTTTTATATATTA